TAAAGTACATACAGACATCAAGCTTTCTTCTTCACTCAAAACAGATCAGTTTAAATCACGAATGATAATGTTCTCCTCCAGGAGTCAACTATTCTCATGTACTGTATATTCACTCCTAATGAGTGATGATTTGATCATGCATGAATCCTTTTGGTCTAATGGGAGAAAGCCGGAGATTCCCAAGGGAACCCAGACATGCACAGGGGGGAACGTGGATGTGAGTCGGGCCGGTTACACAATATTGTGGGCCCCAGTATTGGTGCCCTGTTCACTGTGGGAAAAGTATTTTACCAATTCAGATTACACCATATTAACAGGTAGTCCTACATGCATGGTAGGTTTAATGTGTGCTCTTACCAACACCATTCAATCAACAGATCTGTTTCCAAAGAGATCGACTGTAAATGTCATTTTTATTCAAATACTTGAATATTTCTATTTTCATAAAAACCCTAAAATAATACAATGCAAACATTTTGGGCATATGAGTTTGATAGAACGTGGAATATTTTCAAAACACACATTCATAAAAATATAGTAATAATATATAAAAAATAGAAAAATCATTGCCCCCTCCCTCGCCCCTCTGAGGTACTGACCCTTAAACTCTTCGTTCGACCCAAGTCAGTTTTTTTTTTGTTTGTTTGTTCACTATTAAAAATATGTAACCTGTGCAAATCCAAAAAGCAAATTTCAAATTATGGTTGATTAATTAAAGGAAAGAAGCTAACCAAACCAACCTGGCCCTGTGTCAACAAAGTGACCGTGATTAACTTTTGATTCATTCAAATCGCTTCAGCACAGGCTGTCAGACAACATGAAGAAGGATGAAATATCTCAAACAACAGTGCAACAAATTTCACTAAAAAGACATTCGAAAGCAGACGAGAAAGATGACTATCTGTCTAGAAAAATGGATGCCATGTCATTTCTAGGCTTTTGCACTCCAGCAAACCACAGTAGGAACTATTATCTGTACATGGAGAAACATAGAACTATTGTTAACTTTCGTAGTAGCTGCCAGCGTAACAAAATGACTCTAGGAGGGAGGAAACAGAACGGCACAAAAAAACTAAAACACAGAACACCTAAACCCTCCATTCCCCTAGTAAAGTATTGTTCAACAATAATAAAGAGGCTGGAAAAATGGTTTCCATGGGTGGGGGGTTTCAAGGCCACTGCTGGTCAAAGAGAACACAAAGTCCCACATCACACTTGGCAGAAACGTCTCGATTTTCTCCAAGAGTTTTCCAAAAAATATTTGAAGTTTGGTGGGGAAAAAAGTGAAACTTTTTCCACATACGACCAAATTAATTTTGAAAGCTTTTTACCCCCTCCATCAACTCAGGCTTGGTTGCTGAGCTGAAACATTAAAGCATAAGAAGAAAAATCTATAATGGAGCAGAATACTTTTTCATTCAAGTATTTAATTATCTTTTCCTCAAAAAAATAACTACGGTACATGAATTGTCTGTGTTAAGACCTAAATACGTTGGATCTATTGCCCTTTGAAATCTAATTAAGTTCTTAATAATTAAAAAAATTACTAAATTGAACAAATATTAACACTCTCCGAAATAATTAAAGGAGCTTTGAGTGAAAGGTTAGTGTTACAGCAGATGAATTGAATCCATTCAATGTGTAATTTGGGGATAATTACTATTTGACATGACAACAAAATCAACTTTTTTCTGTATCATTACTGCAGCTGACGCAAAGGGCTATGCTTTTTTTTCCCCGAGTCACCAAAGAGACTTGATGTTTCTGCCATCATTTTTAACGCAATTGTGCTCCTCCTGCTGGGACATCAGTTGGTAAATGTATTTAAAACGGCCCCTTTTTACTCTTTTCTCTCCTCGACTGCGAAAAACGCACACGTCGCTTTGTTTTGTGAGACGATTAAAACCTTTGTTCGGGTTGCCACGACAGCCTTTTGTTTTGGGCTGCCATATAACCCACACGAACGCAGAGCGAGGTGGAGAGGTTTCACACTCCACTTGTGGACCTATATTTAGCGGCTTTGTCATCCCTCGACAGAGTGAAAAGCAGCAGATGAGAGGCAGCACAGAAAGGTGTCATAATTTAATTCGTTTTCTCTGTGGGAAATGAAACAATCCTTGCAGCAGTCAGCTGCATGCGCAAGGCCTCGCATGTAGCTCACACACTCGCATGCACACAGCCACAAATGAATCAAACAGTGAGGGGGTAGAAGTGAAAAAAAATAATAAAAAATTAAATAAAAAATATCTTCTCTGATACATTTTATGTGGGATGCTGATTTGTGTTCTGAAATTAGACGCTTCTTCTCCCAGACGATCCCTGAGTGAGCCACGGAAATTACAGAAGCTTTGAAATGAAAATGTAATTAGGAAACTTAGAGATGCATGGGAATTTTCTGACATTTAGGTACAAAGTTTGTTCAAACTCCTGCTGAGAGAAAAAGTAGGAAGAGATACTGCATTTGCTTATTAAATATGGAAAGTGTCATCTCTATTAGCCTTGCGAAAGTACAGAAATTTTGCAAGCATATTATAACACAATATTATTCCATGAATAATATGACAGAAAATTAAGAAGGATCTGGTTCTGTGTCTCTGATAAAAGACAGAATAAAAAAAAAAAAATAGAGAAGATACTGGCTGAAATTGGTAAGAAAATGTCATCATTCGCAATGAAATACCAACATGTCGCTAAAGACCAACAATTTTATTGATCGAATAATAGAAAAGAAATTGACCCCCAAACAAAACAGGACAAAAAAATAAAAAAAAATAAATAAATGAAAACCTTACAGATCCCATTTCAACAAAAGCCTATTTGGTGATTTCACTGAAATATTACAAGCTTAGTTTGTAGTTGGGATCAAAAAAGTTAAATATATACAACTTTTTTTGACCCAGCAGGTATGAGTGGGTGCACGAAGCATGTTGATGCAGACAACTCTCCTCAACCACAAAGATTCGAAATGAGCAAAATAAGCAATAAGAGTCGTGACAGTACTTAGAGGAAGCAATATGTAATCTCCAAAACAAGAATAATACATCAGCCAAGCGGGCGTTTTCTACACACTGCTTTTCAGCCTGTGACAGTTTTTCAGTCACGGATGAGTTGCTGTTCATGTTAGCAGCTGGAAAGGAGATTATTTTTGAAAGATGCAGGTCTGTATGTGAGCTACAGCTCTGAAAAGACATATGGAGATATACAGTGCAGCTGAAATGTGAACGAAGAAGCCAACCTACGTCAGAGTAAAATGTGCAAAGAGACAAAAGATGCTTTACAGAACAAAAAGCTAATCCATTTGCATTATGAAGTAACTATATAGGTGACAATAGAAATGAAAGTGTTTGTGATGACGCTCTTGGTGACTCGGAGGAAAGAAGAGATCTGATCCTAAGCAGCTTTAAACTTCAATCTCTCTCAAGCAATTATCTTAAATAGATGTTAATTGTGTGCAGAAATAAGGAACTGACCTTCCCCCACATGTTGCTGCATGTTGACAGTCAGCTGAATGAACGAATGCTACTAAATTTACACATATAAGAGACATTTTGCCACTCAGAAACATTAAAAACATTAGAGGACACTAAAAAACAAGCACAGGATGAATAAAGATGTCATATCCAGCAAAATAAGCACCTGAAAAATACAATTAAGTTCACCAGGTATTAAAACTTATCCCCCTAATTGATCAGAAACCCAACCAGGAAAGACAAACAAATAATTGTGTACAAAGTTCCTTTACGTTTTTCATTTAAAGATTCCGGACTTTTCCAAAGATTTCCAATTCTTTCAATTCTTCTCACTTTTCAGTAAAAAAAAAAAAAAAATAATAAAAGACTTTAAGGAACTTTAAGGAATGAAGGATGCAAGGAAAGAAACAAAGAAGAGCGCAAAGAAAGAGGAAAGAAAGCAAAGAGAAGAACAAAGGAGAGAATGACATACGACAGGAAGAAAGGCAGGACAAAATAAAGAGAAGTAAGGAAACAAGGGAATAAAGAAGAAAAGGGAAAAGAATAGGATAGAGCAAAGAGCTCAACATTTGGACAATGTGATAGGAGATGAAGTCTGAAAAAAAAGACTTTTTGCATCTTTTGTTCTCCACACCTTCCCAGATTTTAGAGGAACCCTGTAGGTATAAAATGATTTGTTTATGTGCATGAAAATGGAGGAAAAAGTGCGTAAAGTGGCAGGAATGATAGACTAAATGTTCTGTTTTTAAGAAGGGCAAAACACATTTGTAAGACATTTTCGAAAAAACACCCCCCAAAATCGAGCTTTTTTTCTTTTTTTTTTACCTCTAAAAGTTATTGATGAAAGCTGAGTTTGTTCCTTTCAGGAAAAGGACACGACGAGATGATTTTACAACCAATGACAGCTGGCACACAGAGGACACACAGGCGGAGAGAGAGCGCAAGAGACGACAGCACTGCCTGATATATCCATTCTGAAATAATACTATGAATATTTTGTTGAGGTGGCCAACTTTGCGCTGGAAATCACAGCGAGTTCCTTCCCTGCAAAATTTAAAGCCTGCGGCTTCAATTATTCAAGTATTGTCCCTCGAACAATATTTTTCCATCACAGGGGCAATTTAGCCAAGCAGTAAAATCTGGACTTTTTCCGCCTCGTCCGCCGCTGAGAGCACTAAGCTGGGCGTGTGAGGAGAGGAGCAGATCCAGCTCCACTAGGATTCGGGACAGAGACACCTGCTGCCAGAGCATAGGAGGCCAAATCCAACAGGAAAGAGAAAAAGGCGTAATGATGACCTGCTGGGTCTGGCCAGGAACCCATCATGACTGCTTACAAAAGGTTTGGTTTGCTTTTGCGCCAAGAAAAAAACCTAAATCAACTGTTTAGACCTCGGCTGACGCAGGAGCGAAGAAGAAGAAGAAGCACCTTCCCTTTCAAAAAACAACATGGATTCATCTGTCCATTTTGCACCTGCAACTTTGTCAACGCATTCGACAGAGACATCACTCATGCCACCGACAAAATTCTACCTTTCGAAGTCACCATCCGGCGGATAGCATCCTCGGCCGTGCCCTGAAGACCCCTGTGGGGGTGGAAAGGAAGAGGGATGAGCTCACGTTCAGCAGTGATGTCAGGAGACACCTCCGCCCCCAGCAGCCGGAGCAGAGCCGGGCTGAGCCAAGGTGAGGCCAGAGAGTCACAAACACAGATCCGTCTTCTAGGATGGGGACTGCAGCCCTTCATTTATCACTTTCATCTCATTTAACAGGCTCTGCATTTCTCTTACACATTTACTATGTCAGTTCATATCATAATGATGATATATTTGATTCCATCTACTCATTAAGAGTGTTTGTAACTCACTAATACATTCATTACTAGTGTGTGCTTTAATTAAAGAAGGATTTTCCACTTTTATTTTCGTTTTTTAAACATATAAAATATTAAAATGAACTGTAATAATTCCGCTGACCTCACAGTCTTATAATTACAGCAAAAGCCACTTCAAATGATAGTTTTTCTGAATTAATCGCATTTGAAAGTACTGCTTGAACAGGTTGCCAGGTCAGTTACGCAGCCCCCATTAAGCCCATTTTAACCTAATTAAAAGGTTAAATCCATTCAGATCGATTGGAAGCCTTACCTTTCAGAGTGAGGACCAGCCCGACAACCTGTCTGAGTGACGGGTTCGGGGTTCAGAGACCTCGACCCCCAGCACCGGTCAGCGCAATTAGAGATGCCCGGAGCCCGTTTGTTTTTGAACCGGAGACCTATGAAGTCATGACCCCGCGGCTGGTCAGTCCCGCTTCCCGCTTCACGCGCGTCTTCTCGCAGCCGGGTGCCGGTGAGCAGGAGCGCGAGGAGATCTCGTGGCAGCTCCGCTGAGCGCGAGGAGCTGGAGACGGTCGAGGCGACGCGCGAGCAGCAGCAGCAGCAGCAGCAGCCCGGCTGCGGAGCGTCACAGCTCGGCATGGCTGCGTCCTCCGTGGAGAGGGGGAGGTTCGACACCCGCTGCCGCCGAGTTGGTCCCGGCGGGGCGGGATTAACGGAAACACTGTCACTTCTGAGTGATCCCAATGTAGCCGAGTACATTTTTTAAAAAATGTACAAACTAGGATTTCATCTACACACTGATCAGTATATTTAGTGTTTATTTACCTGCTGGTTTTCATAATGACAAAATGCAATATTTATCAAAATTTCATGTCTATTGCTTTCTTCATTGATTGCTGATGACGTGAAGCACTTTGAACTACATAGAGTTGCAGAAATTGAGTTCATTGTTGGAGTATTATATTATCAAACCAGTCCGACCCAGTGTAAAACTATATTTACCCCAACGTTTCATGCTAAACTTGAACAATATTTATTTGCTTACTGTAGTTGATTTCCCTTGCCACACCCTGCAGGACCGTCCAGACCTGTATAACCTTCATGTCAAGGTGAGGGAGGCTAATCTTGAAAACCATCACACTCCAATATAAATAAACATAGGGGAAGGTAAAAAAACAAACATACAAACAAACAAAAAGTCCCTGACATCTCTCCATATGAAAGGGGTTCTGCAGTCCTTTCTTAAGCATTTGGACTCCATTGAATAGAGAAAACGTGGATCTTGTTCAGGAAGTACAGTATTTTTTGTGAGGAAAATCTCTGGTGAGTATTTTGGAAAACATATCTTACCCAAAGTCAAACATGATGGCGGGTGGTGTGATGGTCTGGGGATGCATTGCTGTTTCAGGCCCCGGATGGCGTCACTAAATTAATGAAAACATGAATCCGATCCAGCGAGTCCATTTGAGTGGCTCGGAAACGAGGATCTTTTGCAAAAGTCTGAATCTGGATTTGATCCCAGCTGTGATGGTGAGGTGGGACCTCAAATTGTTGTTCATGGAAGAAAACTCTCGAGTGTCGCTGAAGTAAAAATAATGATCCAGAAGGGAGTGGGTTCAATTTCTCCACAGTGATGCTTGATGGATGGCACAAAACAAACATTTGATCTTGAAAAATACTTTATTGATATCCTCTTATGGTAATGTATACTACTTAGTCTTTAGGCTCTTCTGGAAATCACTGAAGAAGCTGTTTTTGGGTTCATTAACTTATTTTACTGTCATCTCTGAAGTCTGATCCAAAATAATTCACCCTCTGAATGTTTGTAATGTTTCAAATACAACTCTATTCAGGTGGGTTTTTAGTCTAGATTTAAAGGAAGTAAGTGTTTGTCAGTGATGTTAAGAGCTGCAGCTCACTTTAGTAGAGCTGCTTTCTTTAAATCTCTCGATCTTTAGGTGCCATTGTTTGCCCCCATTATCCAATTACTTTCTGCTGCGGTTTGTATTTCAGATCGAGCAGCATCATCATAATAAAGGAGTTGTATTCGCTCCAAGGTTGAAGTAAGTGAAACCACACAGCACACCAGAGCCAGTCAAAAAAAAAAGAAAGAAAAAGCATCACTTTTTCCCACACACTTGGTTGCTAAATGCTCAAGTCGCTCAATCCTGTGCAGCTTTTTCTATTTATTTTAATAACACATAGGTTGTTGGCCTATTCACACTGCAGTCCACTCAGAAAATCCCCTGGTATTTCTAAAGGCCGGTCTGCTCCAGAGCTGATGTAGCCTGACACAATTTGTCAATTCAATGTCATGCAAATGTGATATTTTTATTAAAAGGGTTTCCAAATCCCTTCTGGCCGGGGAAGGCCTCACAATCATTTAGCAAAGTGCTGCCGAGTCGAGGGATGTCTGGCTTTAAGAGATATATACCCTGGATATCTCACTCGGTGGAAAGTCCAAGAGGAAGTGGCAACCTATGTTTTACTTTCAATGCAAAGGGCAGAAAAAGAACCAGGTCTGCATAAAACAACAAGATGCAAGGAGTCCTGAAAAGAGTTTCAAAACTATTTTTGCCGTTCGGTCCCGGTGGAAAGATTTGAACATTTTGCAATTAATGGAGCAGGAACAGGCCTCGAGTCAATTCTCACAGCTTTGTTTTGGAACTGGATGAAACGGTGAGGTGTTATTGCTGTTCAGTATGCAGCACGCTGTTTATCCAGAGCTCAATTTTAATTAGATAATTGACGAGAAAGCCATTTTATGCTCTGGCGTGGGCCATTCCTCCATTATCTCCCCATCGATTAAGCCAATATGGTAAACGGTCTAACGTATGACATTTGCAATCAGAGGATGTTGCTGTGAATAAACGTCATGCAGTCGTCCTCATTACATTACCGGAAAGTTAAACAAATATAGCATTCAAAAATGTTTAGGGAGCTGCGACAATAAACTGCAAGGCCTTACAAATTGGCATTAAATACAATTTTATGTTAAGATCATAATTTCTTGGTTAATGTCAAGAAATTGACATTAACCAAGAAATTATGATCTGACATAAATTCGTTAGAAAAGTATTTCTGATTAAACTTCAGCTTTAATAACAGAAAGCTACATAATTTTTTAAGTATAATCAGTAATACTTTGATAACAAATTTATGTCAGATTATGATTTCTTGGTTCATGTCAAGTTGTCATAACAAAGACATTTTGAATAATGTCAATTTTATATCAAAGGTGCCATGATTTACCAAATGACACTTTGTGACAATCATAAATATTCGTGAAGACTCACTCATGTTCATGGCAGGTGTTATGACGATCTTATTCACAACCCGTCAAAGTGTTACCCAACTTCTCTTTCTGTGCCACTTTGAAGAAATGTATTTGTGTAAAGCCTCCTGATGAGAAAAGGGCAAATTACACAAGAACCCAACCCAAATTGAGAAGCGCCCACACCTCCAAATTGTGCACATGGCTGCTGTGTGATGGAGGGAAGTTGTGAGTCCTGTGGGTTGCTGTTAAAATGCAGAAATTATCTGTGAAGCTGTGAAAGAGAATCTTAGGCATTATCTTTAGGAGGAGGGAGAGACAGAAGCAGTGTCCCTATTGGGTTAAGAAATATGATTTTGGAATTATCACATCACGAGTCAAAAAAACTGAACCCTGGTTTGATCACCTGCATAAAAAAAAAAAGGCTGTGAATTTATTCATGTGCTCTTTTGTTGTTCAAAGAAAACACTTTTCCACAGTAACATTAATTTGGAAAAATGGAAATTCCACTGCTTCTGCTGAACAACAAAACATTCTCTCCTGCGTATAAGCAGCTAAAAATATTCATGGTGTGACCTTGTCAGAAAGCACTGAACTCTTACTGTAATGTTCAATTCTATTAGCTACTTGAATGTTGTAAAATAAATCCTCAATACTCCATAGTGCATAACAAACTGTACGCAGTTTAGTTTTCTGAGAATAGTTTGATCGTTGTCTTACAGCCACTCGCGCCACACATTTCCAAGGAATTTTGTTCTCGTCTCGATGCTAAAGAGGAACCCTGTAATGAGCCCAACTCTTTCACAGAATAGCTGGCAGGAGCAGGAATAGGATTGGTCAACAACATGCAGACTCAGACTCTCAGTAATTAAGATCAGTGCGGATGGGCTTCTGCTTTGCCAAATCAAGTCAGAGTAATGTCTTGTCTTTTCCAAAATAAATTATCAAGTGACAGCTCTCCTTTACAAGGAAGGCTGAATCCGACGGTGGACGTGCAGAAACCTCACATTGCATTTACGGAAAAAAATGGCAGAACGATGTGAAACGCCCCCGTTCAATGTGAAGCCCATAGTGACATTGTCGTCGGATGGTCAAGAAAATAGCAAGAAATAGCAGGGAGTTACCAATGACCCGAGTAGCAGGGACGCATTTGGATGTTAATTGATTGAAAATAAGGTTTTCCAAATCTGCTATGATGATCTATGCAGGGTAGTGTGAAAGAGGCCTAATGGAGTGCTTCAGTCGTAGGTTAGAATTTAAAAAGGGGCAAAAAAAAAAAAAATCACATTAGCAGTAATACTTGTAATCCTGGTTAACGGCCCTTACAATAAAAGATAGTAGCACTGTCCCCATCTACTTAACTCCAAATAGAGCTCAAACTGCTCATGCAAACAAAGTCCTTCTTGACCATAATAATATAATATAATGAGGAGATTAGTCTGCATGGCTTCCCTTATTTAAGTATTACCCACATCCTGTTAATGACTCATCCTCTGTCTGGCCGTGGCTAAGCGAAGCTAGTTTTATAGCGGGGGGCTGATGAAGGCAGCGCCAGTGGGGAGTGCTAAGATTACTGCTCAAATTGAATAAAGCAGTCGACACATTACACCAGCTTAGATGATCCGCCCCGCCGCACTGATTAATTTAGAAACCTGGACAACATTACGCACGGCTCACGGAGAGACACAAACACAAGTCGCAGAAACGAGTCGCGTTAACCTGGCTTGCCCTCTTTCTCTTTAACACCGTCTGCGCCTTCCCTCCCTGTTCCTTTTCTTCTTCCCTGCTGCACATCACAGCCTTCCACGGCGGCCTCTCATGACTCCAGTTCATTACAGCCTTGGCAGGGTTCCTCAGATGAAATTAGAAAGACAACAGGAATGACAGTGTAGCAGTAGGAAGTTTACAAGGGGCGAAAAAAAGAGCAAGTATGCATGTGAGTTTGTTTTGTAATTCCTTGTGGGGACCATTTTCCTGACATGCCACGTTGTGGAAACCCACTGCTCCTTGAGGGGACCGAAGCCTGGTCCCCAAAAGGGGAAACGTTGTTTTTGGGTCAGAGGTCAGATTCAGGACTAAGGTGTGAATTGAGTTTTGGTTAGGGTTAGGTATGCAATGGATAGGGTGAGGATAAGGGTAAGGTTTGGGCTTGTAGAAATGAATGGAAGTCAATGGAAAGTCCTCACAAAGACAGCCACGAAAACATGTGTGCAAGTGTGTGTGTGTGTGTGTGTGTGTGTGTGTGTGTGTGTGTGTGTGTGTGTGTGTGTGTCCGGTGAACAAATCTAATCTTCGCTGATTCACGGGCAAGCTTGTCCGCATGCGTTTGCGATAGGCTTCCTTCTAGCATACGAGGAGACCGGATAGCTTCTGACGGGAAACACAGCTTGAAAACAACACTGTGGGACAAAGTCACCAGGGCTCTTTGAGCAGGACCAGCTACTGCGGACAGCTCCGCCCGAGTTCATTTTTAGGCGCTCAACAACTAGTGACACGGCTGCATGCCTCAAAGACCACGATCATGACTGTTCTCATCCGGTGGGCTCCGTCTCTGCCTCGCTGCTGACTGCGTAGGCGCACGAGTGAGGCGCAGCAGCAGGAGCAGCTGCATATTTCAGCTTCGCTAATAAACCGAACCAAGACAACAAAAACAAAAATAACTCGCCGACGTACAGACATGTGAAAATGCGGTTGTTTCCTTTTGAAGATTTACAGTTGATTTCTCACCAGGCCCCCCCGTTATTTATTCTGCTCTTTTAAACGAAATGTTTAAATGAACATTTAAGGTGATTTATCTCTTGAAAAAGAAGGTTTTTGAATACATTTAGCTCATTAAACCAAAAGTTATCGACAACACGCTTCAAAGGGTTTTTGCTTGTTTTGCTCTCACATCATGTCAATGAGATCCAGATCTGGGACTTTCCATTTCTTAATTCTCAGCCAGTCCTTGCTGGGTTTACTGGTAGATTTGGGGGCCGCTCTCATACACGTATCTTTCTTTTTCTTTCCAGATGGTCTACCGTTTCCTTAAGCACCCTCCGATACTTTGTAGAAAACATGAGGGCGATCAGGCCAGACCGACACGTCCTGTTCCGCCACAGCTAGTCCTTTAACTGGACTCGTTTTCGCCCTTAAAAGTTAAACTTGTGAAGTCTCTTTCTAACTTTACATTCCAACACCCTCTTATAAACAGTGGGGAGCACCTGCCGCTGTGTTATGGAGGCATTTCAGGGCGTTTGGACATTCCTATTAGCATCTTGCGGTCATTTCAGGTGAACTTGACGATGTTGTGAAAGCTCTCCGCACATAAACTTACTCTCCAAACGACGAAAGGGTGATTTCAAGTCATTTCGAGAGCTCGTTTAATCCCTTCCCAGACGATCAAGCTGCAGTCTTTCTCAGACTCCATCAAACTCACAATGGGGTTCACTCTGATACCGTCAGACTGAATTTTAAGGTTGAAACCTTCAAAATGTACGCTATTACTCCGGATTTTGAAAGGGGTTTGTCCTGATGTAACCTGCCTTTGGTATTATAGGGTTTTCTTTCCAGGAATTTAATTTTTTTAAGTTAAATAAAAATAAAAACAAATAAAAAAAGGGTTTTAATTTAGTTTGTTTACATTACTTGAATATCAATTAACATTTCTACTTAATGTCCACATCCAAATATCATCCATAAAAGACTAATAAGCTAATAGATGTTATTATTCTGGGACTATTAAGGAAAACCTTATAAGCCACAGTTCAGATCAAGCACTGCAGATAAAACATGGTTTGCAACCCTGTATCTAAATCAGACATTCCTAAGAAGCCTCATCATTGATCACAGATGGAAATTTTAAATATTTGTTGTAATATTTTTCTTCTGATGGGATTTTTATATAAACCGATAAAGTCGAGTACTTTATCTACAGGACCAGAAACAGCAGAATTTTCTTTGTTAAAATCGACGGCGGTTTCTACGTTTCGGTCCTTGAGGACAAAGCGGCAATGGTGAGAGTCAAGAACCAGAGAGAGCTGCTTTTCTTGAGCTACAAAAGCTGCCGTTTCATAATTCGCTCCACCATCAAAGCCGCAGTATCTCAGGTCTGCGCGGTGCAATGTAGGACAAGTATCCCATGCTTAATATCCTGTAGTCTCCAGAGGATATGACCGTGGCCGATCCATCAGGGAGGCGCAGCTCAGATCACAATAACCTGAGAGCTAATTAGATCTGTTTGTCATCAGCAAGAAAGCTCATTGGGGGCTTTGCTGTACAGCATGTTGCGAGCATATGCCCAGAACCCGTCAAAAGATTTCCACGCCGAGTCAGTGGGAAGACGAGCCGCAGCGTCAATCCCACAGGTACATCTGGCTGCGTTTTTTTTTTTTTTTTTCCAGCACCTTTTATTTCCGGCCTATTTTGCATCGTTATTACCACGGGAGATTTTCCCGTGGGCATATTAGTCAGTTGTGTTCACACGCTCTGCTGGGCTCTTGATCAGATTTTAATTACATCCTGTAGAGCAAAGTGCCACTGTCTTTTTCCAGTGTTGGAACATATAGAGTGTGTGTGTGTGTATATATATATATATATATATATATATATATATATATATATATAAATAAAGCTGGGCACAGAAGCTTAAGGTTGGCCACCTTGCACAGCTGGTGGTAACAGCACCCCAGTTTTGGCATAGATCACGTCTAGTTTAAGCTGTGTTTAAGCTCATTAGCAGGCTTTTTCTTCATTCTGTGAAAGTCATTTTCTGCCAGCTCAGCAAATCCTCTTTTATGCCTTCAATTTTCTTGGGGAAAAAAAAAAAAAAAAAAGATTCCCCCGGTCTATTAAGATTAAGGGACATTACCAAAAACCCTGCAAATTCCCTCTTAATTAAGAAGTTTGGCTCTGAGCTTACTTTATACATTTTCCTGGTTCTTTAAAAATCAGATTTTTTTTAAACCCCTAATTTCTGAATCTTAACACACATTAGTTAAGATAAATGTCACTTAAAGGGTGAATTTAATGTGGACCAGGCATCGTTCAATATTTGGACAAACACTGGACCAGATTTTCTAACATTGGTGCAATATTTCAAGTACGTAAATATATATATATATATATATATATATATATATACAAATATATATATATTATATATATATTGTATAATTATAATAATTATTTTTAAAAATCTAAATATATATATACATATTTAGATTAAAAAAACATTTTGATTCTTTAAACATTGTAAAATTAAATTAAATGTTAATTTATTTTAAAATGAACATTTAAAAATAAATTGTTGCAAAACCATTTGAGTTACAAAATTTGAGAAATTTTGCAACCTCTCAAAATCTCAAGATTCTTCCGGTTTTAGCAGAATTGTTTAATCAATTTACTTTAAATCATGGCGTTCCTTCAATCGTTTATTCGCTTTTTTCCTCCATTATGACAATGCCACATCATGACAGGAGGACACGGCTCCTCAAATTAAAACATCTACATTTCAAGGTACTTGAAATGATCGTTGATCAGTTGATCAGTTTTTACATTTAAGTTAAAGATGCATTAAACTGAGAATCTGAGAGGAGAACAGAAGCTGAAAAGAATTTAATTCTTTTTTTTTTTCCAGACATTGTTTTTATGTTTCTCCATTCTGCTACGTCAGCATGCAACACAATCAGTTAAAAGAAAACCCAGCCATCACTCCCAGTCTTCTTTCTTAAGAACACTGTGTTTAAAACCTGCAACTCGAGAGCAACTGATGTTGACATTTAGCGGCTGCGTCTCTAACAGGACAGAGTCCATGAGCGCGGCTCAGCGAGAGGCGGAGTTCAGCCGTCGGTCTCTCAGCTTCAGCTCACGCTCATTCGAGAATCTTGTGGTAAGGGAAGAGCGGCAGGCCTTTGATAAAATCTGGTATGTCCATTATGGAGATGGCGCCCTCTATCTTCGAGGAGGCGGGCAGCAAGGTGAGCTTTGACACCTCACCGTACGCAGACTCGCTCACTTCCTCCTCCTTATCCGCTTCTGCTTTTCTCTTCTGTTTCTTCTTACCCTCACCGTCCCCGTCGTTCTCCTCAGCACCGAATCCCACCACCTTTACAAAGAAGGAAAAGAGGTGCAGACGTGTGAGCCGCGCAATAAAACTGTCTCGCCTCCGCGTCGAAGCCGGACGTGACGACGTCGCTTACGTGGACGCTGAGTTTGCGGCTGGTTTCGTCCCGATGTTTTAGGAACCAGGAGAGGAGCTCGTCTCTGGTCATCAGCTTCAGAGCAGCGATCTGAAAAAAGACCAGAAATTACTCTCAACTGGTTACATTGAATTCCAAACCAAATTATATGGGTATTTAATATGCGACTTACAGACATACAGCGTCTTCCTAACGTATTCATACCCATGTGTAGTCAGTTTAGGTGGCAGCCATGTTTTGGTCAAATTACAGTTTTACCAGACGCTTTAAACTTCTTCACAACAGGATACACACACGGCACACACACAGAAAAACTACAGTAGATATGGACTTAAAGTTTTTTATGATATTTTGTACTGCTACTGTGAGAAAGTTAAACATGACAATAAGAAGTATTTGTTCCTCCTTTCTGTAGGTGGCTGGCATCGCTGTGGCCCAGCAATCACAGCTACACAAACACAAACACGGCTCTTAAAAAACAAAAAATTTGTAACATGCCTCTTCAGGACACCAGTCACAAAGTGTGATTTGTATCACTAAACTGCACACGTTCACTGTATTTAATCATATTTTCACATTTATTGATGTTCTCATTGATAAACTGTGGAGAAAATTGTAAAAAAAATAATCCCAACAAAATACAGATTGTTTTAAATGTCAAGGATAAATCAACATTCTTATGACAATACATTTATCACGACAAATTATATCAATATGATAAATACCTTACATAAACCGATGGAAAGCATTTGGCTGAACTGGATTTTATTTAGGAGTATCAGAGTGAAGGGGGCTAAATGCCTGCAATATTTTTCATAAAAATGAAAGAAAAATCATTTTATTTCATAGTTAAGCAACACTTTGTGCTGTTGTATCAAAGATAATCCAAACAATGAACACTAAAACATAAAATCAGGAAATGTGCAATACTTTTGCAAAGGATGAGAAGTATGTGTCTATCTTTTTTATTACTTTTAAATTTTCAAGAGAAAATCATGCTAAATGACAGAAGAAAAGACGATTCCCCGCTAAAACCAGAACACGGACACTACATGTCTTGTCATGGCTCGGAAACGGCGCACAAAGACTGTTGATGTGAGCTTAATAATAACCTGCCTATGAACTGGGAGAGATGGAAACTGGTTCACTAGGTGGCACCAAAGGTTCAGAAATCCTGAACGGAGCAGAATCGGTGGGTGCAGACTGGAGACATTTTATCAACAGACATGATAATTGTCGATGACAGAGCAGATGAAGACCTCAGAGAAAATAACAGCATGTTAAAGGATTAGCTTCCTCCTCACCTCCTTGTTCAGCCGGTCAAACACGTAATGCTGCGTCAACACCTCTTCCCAGTTCCTGTTCACCTCCTCCCCGAGGTGTGTGTCCTCACACTCTTTCAGCTGCACTAAAGCGGTCACCTGCACGGAGAACACACACACACCGCACGCTGGCACATATAACATCCAGATGAAGAAGACGTGCAGCCACCGTGCCAGAAAAGTTACTCCAGTCAAACTTTTGGTAACTTTTAACTTCATGTTGCTTCTTTATGAGCAGCAGAAGCTCCAATAATATGTGCACACACACACACACACACACACACACACACAAACACAGACCTGGGTGCTGAAGGCCTCCTCAGTCAAATCACCGAGCTCCTTCCCGTACGAAGCCAAGAACTCCTCAATCTTTAACTCCACCAACTCGGAGCTGGGGGAGAGATGAGAGCGGGGAGATATTAGAGGCTGTGGGTTGAATTTGATCCCGTTAGTCATTTATCAGCTCCACTCCCTCCATTTCCAGCGCCACGCAGATAAATTGTAGCTGGGGAATGGGTGAACAGTCAGATATATCATATCCCGGATCCGGGGGAAAGTGGTTAAGATAGATCGGATCTTTAAAGGGTAAAAATTGTGCTGTGGACTCACTTGAATTTAGTCGCCTGTGTTTCCACGGTGATAGAGAAACCCAGAACACCAGAGGTGTTTCTGCAGGTAGGGGAGACGTGGTAACTGCAGAGGGAGAAACAAAAGACAGCGGGGAGGATTTGCAGAGAGAAACGGTTTGGGGGGTGAGGGGGAGAGTGAAATTCGATTGCTTCAAAGTCTCGCACAAATCCAGGCATGAAAAGTCTTTAAATTTATGAAAAACATCATTCTGGCGTTAAGCAGCACTTAGTGCAGGTATAAACACATTATTGGCTTCTTTTGTATCCAAGAGGAAAACACAAAAGAAATGAGATGTGCAGATGCAGACAGATTTGCTGGTTCCTAACAGCTCCCCAAAGCCAGGCTTCATTTCTTCATGCAAAGGTTCATCCCAATAAAGAAGAATGTCCTTGAAAAGATTATTAAATTCAGCAACTGAATAAAAAATTGTTAAAAAACCGTGAGACTCGTTTATGAAACCTTTTCATCACACGCATGTATTTTTAGTTTTATTTCAGGAAACTTGGATGATTATGACCTAAACGTAATGACATCTTTAAGTGCAATTCTTTACCATTTTGCATTAGATTTTTTTTTCCTCACATATATAACCATTTGAAAAACCACCGACTTGACAGATGTCCAGCAGTGACAAGTTGTCAAAGTCACAAATGAGTAATGTTAAACATAATAATAATAATAATGATGATAATGCAAGTGTTTTTCGGCTACAGCTGAAACTCACCCCAGAGTCTCTTTTGTCCTGAGGAAATCAAAACAGGGCTCCTCCATGTGCATCTGAAAAACAACAACTCAGTCAGTACCAGAGGGGGCGAGCACCAGGGCTGATGAGATTAAACACGTACCACCAGCAGCTCCATCAGAGTGTGCTCCCTTAAAGCCTTGGGCCCAGACTGGATGAAAAGTGCAATAAAAAGATAATGAATGAAAAGAAAGAATCAAATGCTAGATGTTTTAGAGAAGTTGCTGATCCAGGTTTCCTGGAGGAAGTCCTATATCATGACATAAATGCACAGAAGAAAGGCATTTCTTCCAGGGAGGGACTCAAAACCTCTATGGACTTTTTGTTGGCAAGCTTTTCTTGCCTTTTTTGGATGATAGGAGCAAAAACGCTAGCTAAATAGCGGCTATTAGCAGCTTGTCACTGACAACTTTAACCGTCTTGAAACACAGAGTGCAGCGAGTGATGAAGTCTGCACACATCTCAAACGTTTTCTTGATACAAGAGTCCCATTAGAAAAATCTACATTGTATTTAAGGCATTTTTAAAAGACATTTTAAAGCCTTAATTGTATGAATTCAATCATTTTTACTCTGTGATTTGACTCGTTACCTGGTAGTAAACGGTGACCTCAGAGTTGGCATCCCCTTTGTTTAAGGACTTGACTTTGCAGATGTGATGGTTTTGAGGAAGCTCCACCACTCTGAACGTCACCGGCACCTCTGCTGGCAGCTTGGAGAACTGCAGCTTGCTGCCAGGAGAATAACAACGGGTAAAAGGCGGTCAGCCAGGAAAATGCAAAGCAAGTGAAATAGATAAAGAGGTGAGGCACAGAGAGGCTGCGATCAAATCTATCTGATTTCACGCTATTGGTGTTTTGCTTAGGAGGCCAATTAAGAAGAGCAGAAGCTGAACTTACTCGGTGACGTACTTCAGGAACTGCACCGATTCCTGTGGAGGAAACGCAATAAGAAGCAATGATAAGACGGACTCAGCAAAACAAAGGCGGAGACGTCCAATACAATTTAAATTCAACTTTAGTGAACATCAGCAGATTCATTTCAGTCAGTCAATAGCAGAGTCAAGCGGTTTCTCTGTGGACTCACAGTACTGCTGACGTTCCCCTGCACCAGCCCCTCGGCGAACAGCTCGGCCTTGAAGCTCCGGCTGAACTCCAGCAGCTCTTCGCAGGTCAGACCGGCTGTCAGAGCCTGGTACTTCTCCACCATGGACCAGCGAGCGTGCTCCAAGATCAGCAAACGCACATCCCTGGGAGGAGCAGAGAGGAAGCACTGTCAAGTCAGAGAATATAAAAGGGTGAGACAGATGTGGAGGGCTTTACTATTCAGGGCTGTCACACGTTTCACCACTAGAAGGCAACACAGACTTTGCAATGATATATAACGTACTTGCAGAGTTTCTCGGGTTTAATGAGGATGTTGAAGTAGGTTTTTTTCAGCTGCTCGGCGAACATGCTGAAGACATCATCGGAGGCAGAAAAATCAGCCAAGTGGTCGACAATCAGGTGAAATAGCAACTGCAGAGAGACACGTGGTCAGAGAGAGTGAGGCTGAGAGATTCTCCCACAATCCACCTGGGTTCTCAGGGATGCACACTGTGCAAACTGTAATGTATTTACTGGGTTTGTAAGTGAAATTAAGTAGGGGTGGGCATTTTTCATGATATATTTATTATAAGGGTTTGATTTATTGCTGTGATAAATTCGATTTGATGTTTTGGAAAAATGTCTATATTGTCGGGATTACCATTTTTTCATTATTCGTTCAATGAGAGGATCAATAAACACCAATACATTTCAAACCATTGCTAAATGCAGTAACTGTGTGCATTTTATTGATACAAATCACATGTTTTTATATGTCTGGTGTCCTAAAGAAGCACATTGCAAACCACTATTTTGTGTTTCTGGGGTCATTATTACTGCGTCATGCAGTCAGTCAAACAGTTGCCTAAAAAAGTCAAAGTTTTTATCGTCACCTTTTCATTGTGATCACGCAGGTCAGACCAGCTGTTACTAAATATCAAAATAAAACTTTACATCCAAATCACCCACCCCTGATTAAGTAATAAAACACCAACACAAAGCAACACATATTTGAAAAATAACACCTTGTTATCTGAAACATGTGACAAGCGTTAGTATTCAGCCCCTTTTACTCTGCTGCCTCTAAATAAAGTCCAGTGCAACAGTCAGCCTGCAGGGGGTCACTTGATTATTAGTAAATGGTGACCCAAACTTAAAGGGAGTCCATTAATTAGAGATTCAGGAGAGAGGCCTATGATAACTTTGGAGGAGCTGCAAGGATCCACAGCTCAGGTGGATGTATCTGTTGATGTGATTTACTGAAGGGTTTCAAGAAGGAAAACATTTGAAGAGTTCTGTGGAATAAAATGTTTCACTCCTATGAGATCAAAATGAAAACATTTTGGTGGTGGCAGCATGATGCTGTGGGGATGCTATTCTTCAGCAGGGACAGGGGAGTTGACAGGAACTTTTGGGAAGAAGGACAGAGCCTGGTAGAGGCTTAAAAAAAAGATTTAAAAGAATGTGAGTTCTGGTTTTAGAAAAGCCCAGTCAAAGTCACAAATTGGGTGAAACTGGAAATCTGTAGCTAAACTAAAAAACTGCTGTTTATTGATCCCTTTTGACCAATCGGTGAACGTTAGTGCTTTATCAAAAGCCATTTCAGGTTCTAAATGTGCAAAGCTGGTAGTTATGCTCCAACAGAGTTAAAAATGTTGCTACGCCGCCTCAGGGGAGCTGAACAAAAAGGCACACCGCACTTATCATATTTCTTTTCCTTTTTTTTCCCAACCTTCATCTTAAAAGTACATTGAAGTTTGTACTGATGGATGAGTTCACTCACAGGCAGCTTGTGGTTGAATCCCTTAACTTTGATGATCAGGCCGTGCTCGCCCGCCACCAGCTTGTGATCCAGCTGCGCCACTTCAGCCTCGTAGGCCGGCTCGGCCAAGTTGTGGCCCAGGATGTTGACCATCAGATCAAACAAGACTACGCTGGAGGTCGACAGGATGGAGAAAGGGAGAAAATTTAAAAAAATCTATGTACATCAAAAGGTGAAAAGAACCTGAACAAGAAAGAAAAAAAGATGAGTACAAAGCAAGGATAAGAACAAAGCTTTAGCAAGGAAAAGGCCAGGAGGATAAACAAAATTGAATCTGTGGAGGGGTTAAGGTAAATATTAAGAGTAACTAGAGGCTGACAGGTAATAAAGTAGGTTAAAGCAGGATTCATATGTCACTGTTCCAAACTCATCTCTAAGCCTGAACTTACTTCTTTGCGGACTGTTGGATTATGGGGGAGATTAGGTGGAATCTGATGTAGGCTGCAGGAGGAGAGAGGATAAACAAGTCTCAGCGCGCCTCTGCCGATATTAAATGTATCTATGGAAACATCTGGCATGATGCCACAAAAAGAAACAGTGCAGGTTTGCACACACCTTTGGGGATTTTGAATTTGTTGTCCTTCTTGTACCAGAGGCAGCCCTCATCACTGGCGGCTATCCGCACGGGGAAATCTGTGTCCGGGCAGTCAGAGGGCTTCAAGTTGAAGTCGGTGGCTAAATGAAGGCACACAACAGAGAGTTCACCCACCTTCCCACTCAGAACCAATTCAAATCACGAGCAAGGTGAAACAAGTCAGTTCATGAGTTGAGCAAAATGAGAAAAAACAAGTTTCTCTCCAGTAGTTGAAATTTTGACCCAGTAGTAGAAGCAGGCTGACAGATCTTCATGTTTTGGATAATAAAATAAATCATGTTGACATCTCCTCGGCTCGGTCAGTGCAGTCTCTCAAATTAAGCGAATATGTGAAAAACCTTTGTGTGTGTGTTTTATCAGTCAATTTTAGGCTTGCGTAGCACCTGAGCTGCTTTTATTATCACACGCCGGGAGTAAAAATCAGGTGAGCTTCACCTCCAGCAGCTTTCATGTCGAGACTAAGGAGGTAAAGTACCACTCTTACCTGTCAAAGAGTGGTGACAGCATGCGGTGCAAATTCTCAAATGCAATAAAGTCCCTCTGGCCCCAATGGGAGCTGCTGGAAATCTTCAACTAACGCAGCGTAAACTAGCACCACCTGGGTCTCAAGATTGAAACTTTTGTTGAAAGTAACTCTCAAAAGGCCTGTGTCTGTATGAGATCCTTAGCGTGGTTATGCATTCAGTGTGTCAGAGTTAAGAAAATGTGATGTACAGTGCAGAGAAAGAGTTTTTGCCCCAATTTCACCCACTGGAAGTCCCACTAAAATCTTTTATTTCATGCTAATTGTATCATAGAAGTTAGAGGAAAAAAAAACTATTCCAAATCAGAGAAATTACTGAATTAAACAACTCTGCAAAGTTAATTTTGGAAATGTTTGCCTCCTTTCGGAGATCCAAGTTGTTTAGGGACAATGATTTTTACAGGAAAGAAACGCCTAAATAAAAAGATATCAAAACAAAGTTAAGAAAATGTTAAAAAAATAATACAAATTTTGATTTCTCCATCGCATTTTTCCCCAGAATTTACTAAGTTTGGGTCCTTGAAAGTTTCTCCTCCTCTACAGGGGTCTGGACCTAAAAATCATTCAGACATGGAGGGCGATAAGTCCAATCACATCCAACAGCAGAGCACATTTTTACCTTCCCCTGTTTTCAACAAAGGACAGCCGAAACACACATCATTCCACCATTCAAATACAGAACAATCAAACAACTTCACAGCAAAGAGCTCAAAAAAAAAAAAAAAAAAAGGAAAGGGAAGCGAACTTTCTGCATCCACTGAAGAGCTACAAAGATCAATTGTTCTGCTTTGGGAGCTCACGACTTTTAGCCTGAATTCCAACTCTTCTAACAATTGAGTCACACATGAAAAAGCCTCCTGACAAACTGCAGTAATGACTGTATTTACTGGATGGGTGAATAAAGAGCAAAAGCACAATCTTGTTTACTCCTGACCCTTTGCTATGTTGCACGCAACTGGGCACTTTCTCACTCTGTTGGGTTTAGAGGCGCTTATTTACCCACCAATAAACTCGTTCTCTGCAGGAAGGTGGAGGTCACTGTTTGGCTCCATGTTTCCACTCCATCGCTCCATCCACTTCTTCTCGATGTCTGCAGAGTTCACATGCTCATCAGCCAGCAAGAAAACTTCGCCGTAAATGCATAAAACTAATCTATTTAATCGCTTTATAGTAGAAAACCTGAGGCGTTGACGCCTACATCTGCACACTTTTTAATCAAAATGTTCTGACTTCGTTGTGCTGGCTTTTGCCACCTCTATATGGGCTACAGGTCACACTGTGTAGCATCAGTTTGCTTTTTTTCACTATTAAAATGTAAACAACACACATACCCTCCACACTGTACTGTGTGCCAAACCACTTCTCCCGGAGGGGACACTGGCCTTCGTGTTCTGGTGACAGCAGCATCAGGTTAGCGTTCTCTGGGGTTAGCAGAGAAAGAGCTGCACCGATCACCTGAACACACAAGGAAAACAAGCTCAGTTTGTAGCACATGTCACAGCAGTTCCCTAAACTACTTATTTTCAGTGTGTAGCAAACACTACCTACCCTTTTGAACTTTGAAACACTGTCAGGTAATGTCTATCTACACTGATGGGTCAGGCATGAAACTTTATTAGAGGAAAGGAGAAAAGGAACAACCAAGAAGTCTATTGTAACTCTGGATGAGCAGAAAAGATTAAAAGTACAGAAGAGAATATGTTACATGAATATGAATATTAATTGCATTATGATAGAGCGATAATTGAAATAAACATCAACTCATTTAATAATTGGTTAATTGTTAATGGGAGTAAAGACACAAACACAAGCTACTAGCTAAAAGAGAGCACTCAGGGCCGTAACTAAGCTAAAACTGTAGAAAACATGTACAATTTGCAATTAATACAAAAAACTTGGAAATCTGTAAATGACATAGGTTTAGCTTCATGTGGTTAAAATTTTCAAAAGAAAAAAAAACTTCTATTAAGCACCTTTTGTTGTCCAGTTAATTGTGTAATTGAAAAAATATTGACAGATCAGCTCTGTACTGTATTGATGTTAATTCAAGCAGAATGGTAGAAATAGTTTTTAACTGCAGATTCACCCTTTGCTAAAAATGATCTCGCTTATACTGAAGGAATGCTATGTTATTGAATTTTAGTCAAAGAATTATTTTTATTTAAAAAAAAACAAACAATTATTTGGGCTTTGTACATATTTCACATATTGTATGAAAGGGGTTAAGTGGTTAAATACAAAATCCGCAGTTTGATAATTTTTTAAAAATCAGATTAATCGTCAGAATGATCAACAATATAAAACATTACTGAAAAATGGATTATATTTATACTTCACAAATTCAGCCTTTCAAGCAGAGTGCCAAAAAGAAAGCCGGTGATAGAACGGCTTCTGAACGCCTGTTTGGTTGTGTTCTCTACATAAACGTCAAACATGTTGAAGAGGTCAGATGAAACCAAAACATTTCCATCTGACTGGAAAAACAATAATTTCACAGCAAGTTTGACACACCATCCAATGTGACACACAGTAGTGGCAGCATCATGCTGCGGTGATACTTTTTGTTCAGCAGGGACGGGTGATTATCAGGTATGGGAGTCTTTCAAGCAGACCAACAATTCAAACTTTATAGATAGATCTACTAGTAAATGGCTTATATAAAAGAACATTGGTATAGTAAATGTGGCCCAGTCAAAGCCCAGATCAAGCTGGCAACCAGCAAAACTTGAAAAATTGCTGCTTTTATTTGATGTTTCCAGATATGGCAAGCTGGCAGAGACGGCAGTGAGAGGTGGTTCTACAAAGAACCGACTCGGGGTGGAGCTGAATGCAAATGTATGTCACACTTTTCAGATTTATTTGCACAATAGAGTGAAACGCTTTGAAGTTTGGTTCTGTAATTTGACAGAACGTAAAAAATAAATAAATAAAATGAAGCTAAAGGAGAATGAATCCTTTCTACAAGGCAGCGACTGTGAGAAGCATTCTGCATATCACAGTGACTGAGACTGCAGACAAAATGAAGAGCCAGAATTAGATCGTAGCTCCCATCCATAACAGAAGACAGGTGCACAACGCCAACAGCTTGTTTCTGATATGGAAAGATGTAAGCCACAAATTCATTATTGTACAAAACCCAGACTTTTTTACATCTGCGTGACCTGTTTCATTAACACCTTTGTCTAAAAAGAGAAATGCTGCTTTTCAGAATATAATCCCAGAACGACTGAGCTACTTACTTCAGGGTTGTACTCAAACATAAGATGATCTCCTGTCAGGAAGTCCTCCTTAGGGAACAACTGCATGCATTCACAAATGTCCTCTACGTTCTCTATGGGGTCAATCTGACGAGAAGGAAAGCAAACAGGGTGCTTTTTGTCTCCCCTCATACAACACAATATTTATAGGCTCATGCATTTGTGTCAATATCCTTACCTGTTCCTGGTAGTGAAACTCATTTGCTTCTATCCTCTGGATCTCCTCATATATTCTGAAGGCATGAAGAAATAATCAAAGTTCGAACTTTTATTCGCCCGAAAGAAAATCTCATACTACACGAGCCTCATGTAAAAAAGGACATTTTTGCTGCTAAATCTACTTTGTGTCAGTTGGTGAATATGAGTGTGATGGCACCTTTGCTGTGGTCCGAGTTTCTGCACCATCTTCAGATACTGGAACACCAGATCAGTGACCTGTAAAAAAACACAGACAAGGAGATCAGAGACTAAATAAAAGGTTCAGGCTTTTTAAAGGGAGGCTCTGTTAAAAGAACACATTTATATCCCATCAGCAACAGACAACCCTACTGGTTAGAAATAATAATGAATTAACCAGCTTACATTAGTTGTATGGTGAGACAGTAATCATTTGCTATAAAAATAATACGTTTCAAAGAGTGTAATGTTAAAAGTTGCTTTTTAAAGAGAAACTGACATTTTCTACATGATTGCAAACGTAGAATTACAGATTGCTAATATTACTGGGAAGTCATTTTTGTGTAAAAATGATATAATTTCACCTCACTTAACCTTTTTGTGATGAAAGCGAGGCTCCTAATTTGAAAACTAAAAATGAAGCAAACTTCAAGCACAGTGTAAGAGAGAACGTGATTAAGTCCAATTTTTTCTTGTTTACGAAAAAAAAAATAAAGATTTTTATAACTCTTAGTTTAACTTTTGGAGCAGCTGTTTGCAGGTTAGCTAAATATATATATATGTATATATATAAATATTTTTTTTTTTCAATAATTGACAACTTAATCAGACAAAGCTTTGTATGTGACTTAATCAGGTGCTCGTAACATGCGCCCAAAGTGAGACAAGAATACTCCTGCAATGAGTAAATTGTTTTCCACTAATAACCAGTAAATGTAGAATCAGGCAAATGTGACTGAAAAATCTGAATTTAAATTTAAACCTTCATGGTTTGCCCTTCTTACTTGCAGCCTAAAAGCCAATGGAGGAGAAGATCCCTCAAGCTACCTGTGCTCTGTCAACAACAGACCACCACAAATCAGGTGCAATTTCAGCTTTTAGAAAAAACAAGCAGCAAAGTTACATTCTCTTTGGATCTGTATGAAGTATTTGGCTTCATACAGATCCATTCCTAACTGCATTCTTAAACCACAACAAAAAAACTGAAAAAAAAAAAATAAATAAATTCCTGTGTATTATTCCGTACCGTTGGAGCTGACAAGGCTGATAAATGCTTTGGCTCTACTAATCAGAATCCTTTTCTCAAGGTCATACTGGCAATCTTTGAATGGTGGAATGTGGAGTTTTGATCATGTTGTACTATTCAAAGCATCAAAGTTGATGAACTCATAAGGCAGTAGTAAAAACATCTACATTGCAAAAGAAGAGATTTTAGGAGAAAGAGAACTAATGAGTTCTTTGCTAAAATCCGGTAGCGGTTTTTGTTGTTGGCGATGATGGTGGCAGCTGTGGTAGTCAAGTTGTAAAAGAGGGACTGGAGAAGAAGTTGGAGAAGGAGTGAGGATGAAGAGATGGATGCAAAGGGACAGGAGAAGGAGATAAAAGGGAAGAAGCAGCAGGACCCACTTACTTAACAAAAAAAAGGCACCAGATGCGGTGTGCGAGATTGGGGTGGCATTATGTCGTTCCTTAGAATATTAAACTCTTTTGATCAAAAGGGTTGTGATCCAAACCTCTGCTTTTTGACATATGAAAACAGTATAAGGAAAGTATTAATTTCCATTCCAACATACTTAATTCTTTCTCCAAACTGATCTGAAAATAAACGGTATCCAGAGGGTCTTCTGCAAACTCACTTAACTCATCATCAAGACTGATTTTAACCATTTTGTTCACATCAACAAATATGTACAAAGTGCAGTCTATCTTTTTATTACAAACATAAAGGCTCCTTCTGGTTATATGGTTATTCTACCAGATCCATCACGGCGAATTTAACTAAATATTTAGTGGAAAATGTATGTTTCCTCTTTGCTAAAAGGGTTTTGACCATTTATTGTCACGTAGATGAAAATTATGAATGTTTTTTGATATAACGGGTTTGTGTAGCTTTGAAGGGGTTTCTTTTGTTCCCCAACATTTATTTAGATTTTTATGAGCTGCTTGTACAATGAACTTTTGTGTACTGGTTTTTAATCTTAAATTTTGTCGTAAAACATATACACGCAGTAGTTTTAGTTGTTGAACAAACATAGTTCATAAATAAAGTTCATAACATACAAACTGATCCTAATTGGAGCAGAACCTCCATCAAATATTTGAGTATTTTTTAAAGGTGATCAAGACTCAGCTTCTCCTTCTCTTTGACTAACGTTATGACAACAAATATCACAGAAGGAATAAGACTTATACGCTGGGGTATTAATGTGATTTATTCGGGGACGTTTCATACCCGAGGAAAAAATTAATTACCGTCTAACATGGAAAATATTTATAGGTCTTCTTAATTTAACTTATTCTGTAGGACTGCTCTGACTTTGTGTCTTAAAAACAGAGATGGACGTCATTTATTTGTCAGTTTGCTAAGCATGCAGCGATTGCCAGCGGCTGATTGGCTGAACTGTCTTTACGACCGGGAACCCTTCAGTCTCTCTAATTAACACATTATGTCTTGTTTACACAGAGGTTATGTACCAGACTTTTTCTTGGCCAACAGCAGTTGCCAGGCAACAAGCAGAGAAATACAGAAAGGTCACTGGCATTGACCTTGTTGCAAAGATGGAGAATGTGAATGACAGGGAAGATCTACAATGAAATGGCTTAATAATGGTGACTAAACCATAAAAATTCAGATAATATATGCATACATATTTTGCTTTTTTTTCCCCCCAAAAGCAAACTCTAAGAAAGCTGAAGAAGTCAAATTGAACTATTACCACAGCAGCTCTAACATTGATCAGATTTAACTCAACATGTAAGTTTTTTGTGTCTTAAAAATGTCTTGAAAATATTTGCATTTTAGATTTAAAACACTGAAAAAAAAGTAGGATAATGACTTTTTAGGATTAAAAAAAGGTAATAGTTTAGTCATTGTATAAAGAGTTTAGAAACAGAGCAAAGAAAAAAACATTTTAAAGTAGAAAATGTGACCATGACGATCTGCTAGAGGATGTTTGCAAAATACTAAAGATAGTTGTGTATTTTTATGCGCTTGACATCCTTCGACCTCTCTCTCCGATGTTATTGTTGACCTCAGACAGAGGTCAACATTACATTTTGCACAATTAAAAGAGGGACTCTTTAGTAACAGGCTGAATCTTTGGGAAGGCACTGATGGTTTTTGATTCAGATTTTAAAACAATTTCAAAACTGCTTAATTGCTCCATTACATTTTTCTGTTTGAACAGTTTAATGTCTTTTAATAAACTGACACAGGGGGCAAGAGTTACCCGTTTTCTTCATATTTTCTCTCATCTGCAGACCAGAGTAATGGAGCCCTGTCCCACACCGATGCATGGCTGTGCGATACCAGTTAACTAATTACATTCCTATCATCTCCCAATACATTCAAGGTAAACTCATTGAAACTAATGATGCCAGACATTAGTTTACACTACAGTTTTTATTAGTCACTACAGTGCATTTCTCAAAACAATTTATATGAAAAGCTAAACACTGATTTCCTGCAAAATCCAGTTTCTTATATAATATCTCAAAAGTAAATATCTGCCTCAATGAACATGCCAATGTCTCAGAATGACAAGTCCTTGTTTCATTGTGTTCGGACAGGACAGCCAAATTACTTAGTCTTGTTGTCAATATGACAGTATTACGCTGGAGGGATGTTCTGTTGTAAACTAAAGTTTTGATAAGAAATATTGTAAATTATAACAGTGGGGAATCAATGGGAAGAGACTGGACATCTACGCTTGTCCTGTACTTTGCTGAAAGACCATGTCACTGTAATATGAAGGAAAACACAGCAATGCAGAGCATGAAGGAAGAAAAAGTAGACGTGAACGCAGGACAATTTCCTTAAGTAAAACTACACAAACATTGCTGCATCTCCGGGCCGTAAAAAAACTCCTCCATTGTTGAGGCATGAGGAGCAGGATGAGAGGAACTCCATCAGCATCTTGTTGTGGGCTGCAAGCCATACCCTGATGATGTTTGAGTGATGGAAAGGGGCAATCTCTCCTCAGCCTCTTCCTCCCAACTCCTCATCCTCCTACTCTTCTTGTACTCTTAGTTGACCTCGTCCAAATCTTTGCCGTTGTCAGAAATGTAACATCGTGTTTTTCCTCCCACTATATACTTACCTGCCAGTTGATGGTTCATGTAATGCCATTTCAGAAAACTGGTTGATGTTATTGTTTCACATATTTATCTGTGCTGGAAAAACTCAGGATTCACCTGGGAGTAATTTATCAATCCAGGACAGATTAATAAAAAAAAGGTCTATGCTTAAATATGAAATATTAAGACTAATACAATAAAATTATGATTATATGTTGTGCAGGTTCCAACTATTCAACACACTCGTATAATACACTTTGATCAACATGACAAAAGCTATTAAAAACAGAAAAAGCAGAGAATTGTAGATAATCACTTGCATTGACGTACACAAGCGTCTGCAAACTGCTCAAAGGCATGAAACTGTCCCTTTATATGTTCACAAGTGGCAATGATTTGAAGATTGAATAAGTAGTTTTGAAAATTTGAATTCTGTTCTGACAAATGCACCACAGCGACTGAGAAAACAAAATTCCTGCAGAGGTATAAAAAAAAACCAAAAAAAAAAAAAACATCCAGCTGCAGGAAGTTACACTGAGAGACAGCTTGGGCAAGATGGTGTGTATAAAGATGATACTAGGATCTTGAGGGCTTCATATTTCTATTATTTTGGGGGGTTTTTCTTTGTGATCAGCAGGGTATGAGTGGTCAGAGGTCCTGCAGACCACCATAACCTGGTGTGAAGAGAGCCTTAGAGACTGTGTGGAACAGAACATCCTGTTTGTGTACAAATTTTACAGGGTTTAGGAGGAGAGTAAGTGACTTTTTCTTCTACAGGTGCTTATTTGTGTTCTGAGTGATGCTTTCACACTTCTAATTTATTGAGTTTTAATGTTTTAACTAAACCGTGAAGTCATATAATTTTGTAGTTCAACCATAAGGTAAAACTGCTCAAATGAAGCCATCAAACCAATTCGGCCTTGCAGCTGGAGGCACTTTCCTGAACTGCACTGAGCCCTTTTGTTGCCAACATCAGTTTCATTTGGAGCTCACATACTGGATGACGTACAAGAGGAAAAGCAAAGCAGACTGCATGTCAGGCACATTTTACTGCAGCAGCACACTGACATTTTCACGTAATGACTGAAAGCCGTTTTGGCATCCACCTTGAGTCTTTCTACAAAACAACAAAAACGCACATTTAAAAAAAGAAAAAAAATCTACTAGATATTCTAAGGAGTAATACCAAGATACTGAAGAAAAGTATTGACTCTATTATGCTTTACATTTACCAACAGCAAACTTCAATGGATTTTGTTTGTGGTTCATACAACATATTACGATAAAGTACGGTGTGTTTTTTTAAATACATTCTATTTTACAAATCCAAAAGTGAAAAGGGTGTCACGTATTCGAATTCAGCACACATGAGTCAACTTTTTTAAAATCCTTCTTCAGCTATAATTGCAGTTGCAAGTCTTGTGGGGTTGGTCTCAATCAGCTTTATACATCTACAGACTGAAATTGTTGCCTACGCTTCTTTCTAAAACAACTTCAATCTCAGTCAGATTTGGTTAGCGAGAATCTGTAAACATAAATGTACCAAATACTTTCAGTTTTATGCAGACCTGAACATTGACTGGGCCATTCTAAGAATTATCCCGTTGTAGTTCTGACTGCATGTTTGGGGTTTGTTGTCCTGCTGGCAGGTAAACCTCCAAATCACTAAACAGAGCTCTGCAAGATGTTCAAAGTTTGTGGTATTGTTGTTTTTTTTTTTTTTTTAAACTAATCTGGAACTATTTTGCTTGTTTACTTTTGTTCTCTATCAAATCTATGAACTTATGCTCCGATTGAACTGGATTTTATTCACAGGATTCAGAATGACGGGGCAAAACAGAAACGCCGAGCATACTTCCACTCCCAATACTCTCGCTGTTTCCTACTTTCTGTTGGTCTGCCACATAAAATTTCGATAAAATACATGCAGTTTGTGGTTGCATCGATACAAAATCCAAAAAGTTTAGGAGCTTTAAATAAGAAAAGAGCCTCAGTGAGGCTGCACCGTTTGTAGGAGTCGTCTCAATCGCGCAAGACCAAGTTTTTTTTTTTTTTTTTGCACAAAATCCAGAAAATGACTCCTTCAAAGCAAGAAAGTAAATATTTCCAAGGTTATTTCATCTTTTCCACGGCGGCTATTGTTGCAAGTTTGCAGCCTGATACATTTTTTTCAATTAAGTAGGAAAGGGCGGCAAACAGCCGTCTCGCTTAACAATCCTCCACTGTGACCGAGGTTAACAAGTTAGTAGTCATAGCAACTGACAATGCACACAGCGTCCTCAAGAATACCTTTGGAAACAAGAGGAAACAAGCCTGCAGGGGCCATGTTCCAGCCTCTCATTGGTTTAAATATGAACATCTAAATATATGGGTGTCATAGAAACAAACCTGATGATCAGACAACAACAGAAAATAACTGAAGAAAAATCTTTTATATTCTCATAATCCTTATTGGTAAAAAGTGTGGCAACAGGCAGTTTTCTTTACCTCGTAGAATTTTTGGAAGCCTTCATCCGTCAGGGTGATGGAGACTGAGAAGATGGAGTAGGTGGTGTTTTGATCAAAGCCGGTTTCACTGTTTCCCCCGTACAAAGCCAGCGCCCAGCACCTACGAAGAGACACACACACAGACACAATGTAGGGCACACACTCACACAGCCAGGATGCAAACAGGAATCCGACAGCAATCAAATTAAGTGCTGAAATGTGCGCGCGGGGTGTTAAGTGACAGAAATATCACTTCGCATTTTCTGGCTGCCTTCCTGCAGGAGCGATGAGGAGACTGCGATTAAAAAAAAAAAGTTAAAAAAAACATCTAAAAATTTAGCCGGTTGATGTGTCATCCTATTATGCATTTGTCCTTCCTATGTGGAAGGGTTTTATTAGCAGTGAAAAATGAGAAAAACAACTTCTGCACTTCAAAAAAAAACTTGGTTATTGTTCAAGTGCAGCTCGAAGAGACGATGACCAAAACATTTCAAGAAGCTGGAAACAGAATAAAGTACAAAGGGAAAAAAAATTACGGCTTTACTTTCATAGACACTTTGTTTTTTTCTGGCAGTAAACAAAATTGTCATACACCACGGAAGAACAAGTTACAACGGAGCGACTCTTAATAATCAGAATTCAGTTAAATCCAATTCAAAAAGGGGAACTCATGTATGGTATGGATTAATTAAGCGCATAATTCCAAGTATTTACTGGAAGTAACTTTGATAACTACAGCCAATAGCTATCAATATTACCAAAGAAAAAGGTCATGTTGGAGCTGCAGCTTTGTCCAAAACAATCAGGACTATGGACACTCTCAATAAGGACCAGAAGACACAAAGTCCATTGTTGAACAAGCTGGCTGTTCAAACAGCCGATTTACGCTCATCAATGGAAAGTTGAGTGGAAGAAAAAGAAAAAGAGTCATCTGCTGATGTCAGAAAATTTCAGAGCACTTCCTTCTTCCTTCATTATGGAGCTGCTGATTTCATTTTCCACTTGGCAGATGCTCACACTGGGAAAACGCAGTAAACCCTGAAGGAATGACCGGGATGTGACTGCAGGGAACTGAGGAAGATGACAGACTTTCTGAACCAAGAGAGAAGATGAGCTGAAGGTCGGTGTCCAAGTGCAACCATTACAACTCGGAAGATTAATTTCTGATCATGCAATTTTTTTTTTTAATAAGTCATATTCCCTAATCTTCAAAATGAAGAAATTTATTTTGTATTTTAAATAATTATTTCAAGGCAGGACTAAAAAGCAGAAAGGAAGCTGACACCATCTCTCCCCGTCGAACTTAAAGGGCAAGCATCATATCCTTGACGGCAACATCTCTGTCCTGCAGTCAGACAGAAATTTAAAGAGGAGCAGCAAAAGCAAATGAGGTGGCTTAGCAGTGCTCGGCAACAACTGATGGAGTCATCCAGGACAAGTTAATGTGGAATACTGTCTCTGATGCTCGTGTAGTTTAGCTGTTAGCGCGTCATGACTTCAGTCAGAGGGCTCTTCGAATTCAATGCATGACTGACTGCTACCAGAGATCCTTCCTGCTCACAGCATCATCATCCACCACTCTTTGAAGACGCTTGGATGACACGACAACATGCAATTTTCTTTTGGGATACAGAAAGTCTTTTTGACTTGAAGTGAAACATACCCGTTGGATAATGAATCAACATAATGCGTTTCACTTTTTGAACTGAATGCTTGAAATAAGTGAACTTTTCCTTGATCTACGAATTTATTGAGATGCATCACTGTTTCCCCGTTTCCGCTCAAGGGGACAACATCTGCCCAATTTCAAATCCTCCCTCTTGACTTTTCATTTAAATTCAGCCGCTCTTCTGTATCAGTGGGTTTGCTCTGACAAGAAACTGGGAGCGAGTGCGCTCCAAAATTCACTGCCACCATTTATCAACAAGTGAACTGCGCACACAGAGTAAACAGGAATATTTTATCAAGGAGCTTTCCAAGTGGTGCAGATGGCAAGGGGAGCATTGGAAAGGGCTCTCGGCATTGTGGGACTTCACCAGGTTTGGCAAATCACTTTGCCGCTTAGCAACGAGAGGCTGAAATGCTCTTGTGCAGCCACATCCTAGGATGAAAACGCATGAATCACGCTGTCAAGTGCGACCGTGCCGACGCGTACGGTTTTGAAGATCGGGCTCAAACGCTCTGAGCTCGCTGGGAGCAAGAAAGGGATCGCATACACCCGGCAAATTGAGGAGGTTTTAATTGCGATCTGGAGTGCCCTCTAAGCACAAAAACAAACAGACCAAAGCAATAACACTCACTTCTTCCTCAGCACAGAAAGTATGCTTCCTGCACCCTCATGACCAACCAGCCATGAGATGTAGTGGAGAGGCTTCACTCTGAAAAGAAGAGCAAGAGACCATGAAAATGAGAAAGAAAGAATGAAACACTGATGCAATCTGTCTACAATCAGGGCAACACATTGCCTGTTTGGGTTGGTCTAATTCTGTGTTTACATAAAGAGGCACAGCGTGAGGAAAAAAATGCTAAAAATTAAATAAAACACAAGATACAGGTTTGATGCAATTTCTCTAAAACAAGGTGAAAGCTTCGTCAGTCATGAACTGTGATTCACCTGTAGTGTTTCTCCTGAGGGGGAAGAGCCCAGGAGATGGTCAAGGCGTGGACTTTCCTAACGGGAACGACTGCGAAGGGGAAACAGGCCGTAAGACAGAGCAGGTCAACGTCAACACTTATTTATAGGCTGAGCCGGAGCCTGCCAGATGTGCGCCGACGTCGGCAGCCGAGCGGATCCGTACCTCTGTAGAGCTTGCAGAAGGCTGGGGTGTCGAAAGGATCCGGCAAATTAGAGAAATCTGGCTTCGGCAGACCGCTGTCGGGACACGAGACGCGTTAATACATAACGACTAGATAAGCTGCGTTTATACATTTACGGCATTGGACATATTTATTAGCACCCCTGCCTATCAATTGTTAGGGTTACTTCTTATCTTGTATATCAAAAAGAGCCTTTAATCCAGCAACATTTACTCAGTGTGGTGGGGGGAGGGTTCTGGTTAAGAAATGTTTCGGCTTCCCCCTAAAACAAATTTCCACTGACCTCCAAACAATCCCTTTAACTCATATTTTACTTTTGAAGTTGATCTGAGTTTCAAGGAAATTCTAATTAGTAATCCATGACTTTGTTTCCCAGGGGTATGAATATAACTTGACTCAGAAGTCAATTTCTTTCATCCAGAGGCAACTGGGCAGGATGAGAACTCATATTTAAGTTGCCACTTTGCACGTTAAGCAGGATGGCAAGCGAAGTTAAAAAAATATATAAATAAAAAAAGATCACTATAAGAGTACTGCAGCAAAGGCTCTCCATAACTGCAAGCAAAAACTAGCAAGCCAATCAGATGTTTGGTTGTCCGATTCCAGCAAAGGCCTTTTAGGCACTGCAAACTTTATATAGAACCAGGAGAATTTAAATACAAATCTTGTGGCCTCTGCCAGTAAACTAAAAAAGGGTGTTGTTGGATCTTTCAATGGATAATGATTCTAAAATGGAAAGAAATGATTTTTTGACAGGACTGGCCTTCATTAATGTGAATGTTTCTAGCAACTATTCACTGCAGGGGAAGAAATGCTAACGATTATTTTGTTAAAAGGAACCATTTCGTTTTATGAAATTTGAGTTAAATTAAAAAGTCTGATTTTCTCCATTTTGCCATCTTCTTACTATGTCAACCCAACAAATGAGTTTATATTAAGGTTTTTCACACATCTTTAGCAAGGGTGCCAATAAACGCAGCCAAGACCAAGAAACTTAGACTTACTATATTCAGAGAAAAACTACAGGCTGTATATTTTTATAGCTATGTGACAGAACCGATGTCAGAGATTTTTATTTCAATAGCATAACTCCAAAATGTTTTCATTTCATGTCTTCAAGCCTGATGAAAATGAGTTTAGTTCAGCCAGATGAGTTGAAATCACATGAAAGGGTTTTTACAAGCGGAGCTGGAGAAAAAAAAAATCTCATTAGCCAAATGCAGCATCCTGTCATCATTTAGACGAAATGAAAGCCTTTAAAAACACGAAGGTTATGCGGCTTTCATGTAACAACGATGGGTGCGTTGGTTCCCTAAAAAAAGGGAAGCCAGTGACTTATAAAGCAAATAGAACTGGAGCTACATAAGAACACACTTAGCTCACGTAAATGGATCCATTTCAGGACTATTAGGAAAATAAAGATCAATGTATTAATCACAGAATGCAGAGAAAGAGGAAGGGCAATTTGACCTTCACATTTAAGAGAAGAATATCGAGGCTCGATCTATGGAACGGCGGCACCTCTTCACTTGTTGAGAGCCTCTTCTCACATACTCACTTGTTTGGCACCTTGCTGAAGATCTCCCTCACCCACTTCTCTAGAGTGTCCAGCTTTTCTAAGAGACCCACAGAGTGAAGGTGCAGACATTTCAGTACCATCACCTCAATAATTGTGACTTCACTCTAGGATTTTATGTCAAATACGTTGGTAACTACTCAACTTTACGTATTTTTTTTTTCCATCTTTGAAAGCACGACAATGATATTAAAATATAAATAACAATTTTGAAGAGTTTCTGATAAAGCATAGATAAACGCATAACTACACATATCACAAAAAGAAAACATAACTTTCTCTTTCTCTCTCAAAAGAAGGATACATTTGTCTGGTAAATATTTCCAGTCAAAAGAGAGACGTAGAAAGTAAAGCATCAACAACAACAGTGGCAAAGGTTTTAAAAGTACAATTAGCAAGCTAGGAGCTTGTTAGCAAAGTGCTTTAAACAAAAGAAATTGCAAAATGTTAAATTTGTAAATTGAAATCCTATGTTTTTTGTTTTCTCAAGCTCATCACACCACGTGAATCTGATAACACAAACAATGTGACGTTTTAAAACTACACACACCATCCTTAGTCAGAATTTTTACTTTATGAGCAATTTTGTTTTCAATATTGTTTCCATGAGGAGAACAATAAATCGTATTTATGGTTTAGTACAAGAGGTTCTAGACTGCATGCAGTGAGCGCTTTACAGCCAAAAACACTGCTGAGTTTAGTCATGCCATATCGCCACCACAATAAAGTTTATGAAGTATTTGTAATAAAGTTTTAAGTTTATTACCTACTTCTGCAGATCATCAAAATGAATAAAACATTATGTTTTCCCTACTGCTATAACACAAAATATTATCAGGCTTATTCCTCAACGAAAAGGATTTAGCTGAGCAGGAAACATAAAAAAGAAATTAAGAAATTGTAGTCGCTCAAAAACACTTGAACTTGATTGTATTACCATGTTCTGATAGTTCTTAGATGTTTTATTGTGTAACACATTGTCTCCTGCTTTTCTAATTAGGACGACTGTGACACATTTGTTTCACCTAATACTGCCTAAGATTGAGAAAAATATAATCAGTATAAATATGATCCCTTTCCTGTTGGGAAGGGGATCATATTTATACTGAGGACCATTAACTCGTCGGTTTAATGAGGATGATAGTTCGGAGCACAAAAAAATTCAACACTTGTCAATATTTTACTGGAATAAAGTAGTTAATTACCTGCGTGACATTTTCAGCGAAACCCTGAAAATCTGTTGGATAATTTTTATCTGACAGCAATTATCTCCAGCTGGCTGCACAAGGATGAAGAGAAACCTTTTTTTTGTGCAAATGCCAGTTTAATTTATGAACCTGCAGATTGGCTTTTTTTTTTTTTTCCCAAGGAATCAGTTTGTTTCACCGCATGATATAAGTTGGAGAGTCAAGTTAATTTCTCTTAACTAAATGCGTGTTTATAAATGATAAATGGGATTAATTTTTCCGACCTTTTGACTGAACAGCCAGAGTCATGTAGTGGGCAGAGTAGTGTTCCTTCCAGAAGGCAAACAGCCTCTTGTACACGTTGATCTTTTTCTTCTTCGGCTCCTGCTTCAATGTCTCAGCGTTACCTAGAAGCGTGATGGATTAACAAGAATCGAAGATAGTTTCGGGACAGCAAAGATTGAATGCAGTGAGATGAAGCTAGAAAATTGGCATTTTATTCACCACACCCGTGTGTTATTGCTGCACATTCTCTGAGGAGGCCCAGTGTGGATTGAGTGTCCCAGTGGTGGTTTTTCCAGACTTACCCCAGCAGAACTTGCCCATAGGGTGTCCAGGTTTGGCCAGACTGCCGAACAGCATCTCCTTCCTGTGGGAGTCGGATGGCTTAGCCAGCTGGTACTCTGACAGGAAAAACAAAACACAAACAAGGAGTAGACAAAGGATTTAAAAAAAAGAAAACAATAGATGGAGTATAAAAGAGCTACATGAGCAGCTGCAATGTTTATAACCCTAAATAGATGAGTGAGGTACAATTTATCATCTCAGAACAGAGTAAAGGGAAATGCTGCGGCAGCGAGACGCACCGCTGTCAACCGCCTCCACCTCCCGGTTGATGGCGTCTCGGATCATCAGAGGGCAGATAAAGAACTGGGCCCACCTGAGAACAACAAACGCCATGCAGATTTTATATTAGCAGCTTGCTTGCAAGACATAGAGATAAAAAGAAATGGAGAATTTGTAAAAATTACCAAAGAGAAATTGTGAAAATACCAGTGGGAAACATGCAACTATTATCACACCTTTTGATTTCTGTAAAGCAAACTAAGATTTTGCAATAGATTATTTAGAAGGGTACAGAGAGACAAACTTCTCAGTTTAACAGAAATTATTTTAAATCGAAAGTATGAATAATTTTGGGCTCAATTGTAAGATGAACATGAGTGACTGGATTTAAATACTGTATTTGCAAATGAAAATACCAATTAGTCCAGTTGTACAAAGCTGCACAAAATTTGTATTTTACATTTTAGAGGAGAAAATGCAATTAAATAACTTAAAATACAGTCGAGACAATTTGATAAGACAAGATTATTTTTAAAACTCTGAGCTGCAAGCACCACTGGTCTTAGAGAATGCAAGACCAGTGCTTTTGCTTCTGCAAAGTGAACACAAAAAATTTGGTCCAGATTTTCCTGAGATTTCCTTAAAGTTTAGATAACGACTTGATTTAAAATGAAAATGTAGGCTTGCACATATTAGGGAAAAAAATAACTTCCTAAACATCATCCATAGTGTGCAAGACACCAACAGATTTTATACCCTTTAGCAGTTAGACTTGAATAGTGCCACATGTCATTGCAACGCATTACTAAAATCAAGCAGAATCATGCTTTCACAGTGACTAAATGGTCTCTTTGAATTATATTCTGCTGCTCTGTTTCTCTTGTTTCTGTTTATCCATCAGTCAAGCAATGGCTCTCAATAAGTTCGCCTGTGAAGGGTGACAAAACAAAACAAAACAAACAAAAAAAAACACACAAAGACAAAGGAAATCTCTCGTTTCCAAACCTGTCAAGGGCTTCTTTGAAGCTTTTTCTCTGGACGTCAAATTGGAAGATGGTTCTTTCGCAGTCGGTGGAGGCGTTGTCGCTCCCACCGTGCTTCTTGAGGAACGCATCAAAGCCGTTTTCTGACGGGTACTTCTCGCTGCCCATGAACACCACTGGAATACAACAAGGAAATCAGATGTGACGGGAGGAGAAGAGTAAAGTGACTGTACATCAATGAATGAATAAATAAATAAAAGAGCATAAATGAAAAATCCATCACAGTAGCTTTCTGAAAAATGTGTATTTTATTTATGGGTGCTCTTGTTTGCCTGGACAATGAGCCAAGCACAGACACAGCCTGACAACGCGTTTCAGAAAATGATAGCTTTGTCTCTCTTCACACGGCTCTAAGCAAAGCTTTGAGCATTTGTTGACAGTTTGGATGACAAACTTTAAAAATAAGCATGGGTTTTCTTTATGACTAATGACCTAAGAACAATGTTCAGCTATCTCTGCTGATAGCAGCAATCCTAAAGATGTGTGGCAGTCTGAGCTGCACCAGCTTTTTTCCTCCCGACTTGTCCTGCTCTTGCACAATTAAAAGCAGGATAGTATCTCATCTACATCACCCAAAGTCCACGTAAATCAAATGATTAGCGGTAAATCATTGATTTACTATATGGACGACATTGCAGAATTGGTCGTAATTTTAAGGTTTTGAGATTATCTCCTAAATCTGACAGTGTAATGTTCAGTCCACTGTCCAAAAATGGAAAGTGTGTGACAAATGTTCCAAGAGACTTAGCTGTGAACCAAAATTGGCAGGGCAAAGAGAGGATTAATCAGACAATCTGCCAGCCTACAAGGTGACTTCTAAAGGAAATTGAATATACTGAAGGGCTATGAGAGTAAAAGGGGGTGAAGATACGAATGCATGCTGCAAGTTTTAGGCGTTTACATGTAAAAACATTTAAAAACCTGGTAATTGTTTTCCCTCCACTTCACAATTATTCACCACTTTTGTCCATCAGATAACCAGCTATTTAGTATGTGTGGTCGAGGCCACCAAGACCTCCGATGTGTGCTGAACCTAAACATTATGAGCGTTATGAGGCGTTCAGGCAGAAGGTTTTCTAGGCTGGAAAGCTCACCCAAGTTACTGGGCTTTGAGGCCTCTAAAAGTTTTTTTAGAGGAAAAACTGCAGAATACAGTGCAAAGAAGGGGGAGTTTCCATAATAAGAAGTAGATAAATGTTATAATTTATGATCAAAGTAGCAATACTACAAACTACGATGATGCATTTGTCATGTGCTGCGAGCAACAATAGATCTAAATGTTTTAAAAAAGTCAAAGTCCAGACGAGGGCTGGACATTTTGCCAGATATTTTCGGATCGATTGTTTGCTGCGAAAAACTTCTTATCATGATAAGAATTTCGATTTTTTATTGTCTTGATAAATTCAAATTAATGACATCAAATAAAAAAAGCAAAAGTGACATTACTGTCAGAAATGTTATTTTTATCATTTTCTCCACTGTTTCACAAGAACATCAATAAATGTAAGTTAATTAGAAAGAATGCACAATTTGTCCAGTTTAGTGTTATAAATCACAATTTTTAATAACTGGTGTCCTGAGGAAGCCTATGTTATATACAGTCATATGAGAAAGTTTGGGCACCCCTATTAATCTAAATTATTTTTATCTCTAAATATTTGGATGTTTGCAATAACTATTTCAGTTCGATATAACCAATAACTTATGGACACAGTAAAATTTCAATATTGAAATGAGGTTTATTAGACTAACAGCTGACAGGAATGCAAAAAGTCTTGCAGCTGCAATTGTGGCGAATTAGATTTTATAAAATTTTAACTGGAGGAATCATTCATATGAATAGCACACGCTTCAGATGTCCCCATCAAAGCTTTCTTGATCATGTTACATCTTATCCAAATAACTGAAGAGTATGCTTGCAATATGACAAAACATGAAACATTTCTGCATAGTGTGAATTCTTTTAAAAGGCACCATAAGCCTCGACAGCTAACGACAACGTTTAATGTAAATCCAATCTTACTGATGATTTTCGACTTTTTCTAAAATGGCTTCTTATATTTTATACCTCATGCCTTAGATGTTTTATTTTGCATGTAATAAGTTGAATTGTTAAAAAGAAAAAAGAAAAAATAACACCAGCGCAAAAGTAGGTCAAAAAAAAAAAAAGCCTAAAAGAACATTTTATGTCCTTTGCCCCCCTCCACACACTGGATGACCATGGCCTCAGGAGAGGGTTATTCTGAGAGCTGTCACATCCTGTTAACTGATCTTGAACGTGACAAAACAAGAAAACAAGGCACGCACAGCAAAGAAACAAAAACCTATTTGGGGCGCATTAAAACACTGGGATCAGTGGCAACATTAAAAGAGTGAAGGTAGAATATATTTATAGAAAATTCTTCCAAAATGCACGGTTAGCTGCGCTATCTTCCCACAACCTCGTCACCCGTTCTACTGAGGCTGGAGAAACATAGGAAGGAAAAGCCCTGAGGGCGATCATTCAGCAAAGAAGAGTTGACATTTCACACAAGGATCTGACGCTGGTTTGCAGTGCCAGGCCCTACAGATGTTCTAAAGATGGATTATTTGAACTAGATAACTCAATAAAAAATAAAATTTAATTTAAAAAAAACACACACACAGAAAAAAAGCCTAAAAAATAAAACTGTACGCACAAGATGATAACACTCCAGTCTCTGTATTCAAAGCATATCTATAAAAATAAAAATGCTTTGAATGTAGCAGCAGAAAATAAGTATGTGACAGGGCTGCCTTTCACTTCAAAGAAAAAGGTTTATGTGAAAAAAATAAATAAATAAATAAAGGAAGGAGGCATTGAGACTTTTTCTTCCACAATTTGGATTAATTGACTAAATCTCACAATAACCTCATTCAGTTAAAAGCTTTTCTCATACAACAAATCCAAAAATTCTTTGGTTTGAAACGTTCCTTTCGGTGATGTGGATGAAATGTACAGAATCCACCCTTTCACACCGAATCAGCCCTTGATTGTCCTGTCTCGGTTTTGTATCAAGGCACTGAAAAGAAGAAACTCGACTGGACTCTCCGGCGTTAATTACTCACTGTGCTCCAGAAAGTGAGCGAGGCCCGGGAGGTCGCTGGGGTCGCTGAAGCTGCCCACGCCGACACACAAAGCCGCTGCAGACTTAAACACAGAGAAATCAAATTATCTTTGAGACTTGTCCTGATTGTCAGAGTAGTGTGACTGTTAAATAACTACAAGCAATGCAGCTGGAGAGAAGAACAAAGAAGAGACACAACGTTAATGGGGACAGGGGAGAAGAACGTAGTCACATCATTTGCTGCTATGCATTATAGCATACATTCATTTTATTTTCTCATTGAGTGATCCCATGTTGGTTGTATGCGGTTTCACTACAGACATTCATAATGCATTAGAGAGCCTATTCACTTTTTTTGTATTATGCATTTGAATCGCTCTTTTTTCCAGAGGATTCATTATTTTGTTTTTTTGTATTTCCATGCAGCTGAAAGCACTTTACAAAACAAAGTGATTCAATTCATGTCCACAAAAACATAAAGGAAGTAAACCCAAAACCTTCCGATCTTAAAAATAGGCCAAATTCATTGACATCCATTCCCATTTGACCCAAGTAATAGAACGAAGCAGTCAAATTTAGTTCATAATGCCAGTTGGTGAAACTGTAAGGAAGCCAAGAACTTGTCTGACTTTGCAGGAATCCACCCCTGAGCAAGCATGAGGTGACAGTGGAAAGGAATGATTTTCTTTCACAGCACACAGCCCACTGATATTTGATTACTTATCCCTTTGCAGGCTGCAACTTGACCACAGGCTTCATGTGAACATCAACACGCTTTTGGTATAACTTCGGCTTCATATATTACCAATCCCTCCATCAGAAGCAGTAACCCAACTTTCTTATCGGCTGGCGTTAAGCGTTACATCCAACAATGTAAGCCATCCAAACTCACCTCAAATGTCTTTGGGATCATTGTTGTGCTTGAACACGAAACAGTGAAGTTAGTTTAACATCAGCAAGAGAGAAGTTCCTTCTCAAAACTCAACACCTTTAAGTTTGACTCAACTTTGCAGCTGCAATAGAAAAGCCAAATGTCATCTAAAGAAGTAATACATCTGGTTAGATTACAGGAATAAAGCAATTTGGGCAAAGTGGTGGTCTGTCTGTAATTTCCGAAAAGACATCAATTCAAATATTAAAGTGCAAGTACTGATGTGTAATTTACACAATGTGTACTAGGGCAAATCCTCAAAAATAAAAATAAAATGTGTGTGCCCACATCTTGATTGTTGTATTTTCAGTAAAGTAAGAAAAAAAAGAAAGAGAGAAAAACAAAAAAACACTTACAAGTTCAGGCCCAAAAGAAATAAAACCCAAAACATATTTCTTGCATATTGCATCATCATGCCAGCCAAAACACAGCATGTTAAAATTCATATAAGCGGTTCTCTGCAAACTTGTTACTTTTGTCACATTTTACGGATAAACCGAATGTCTGACTTTACCTGCAAGTTAAGAAATACAGTAATATGGCAATTTATATTCATGGTTTAAGGGTAGAGACCAAAAGTGCAGTATTTTTTATTTTTTTGGTCTGGTAAAAATTCATCCAATGTTCTAGATAAGCAGATTCAATTAATTCAAAAATGTAGTTTCCTCTAATTAGTAGTTAGGATGCAGTGTTGGGTCTGAGAGGAAACAGAACTGGTCTCAGGTATGGCTGTCAGGTGAAAAAAAGAGAAACTTAAGGTTCAGCTTTTTTTTTTGAATCTGCAAAACAATATTGAAATCTATGTCTTTAGAGCTTTGACCACATTTTCAATGTTCTTTTGTTTCATTGTTTCACTGTTCAGAGCAATTTCGCTCTGGAAGAGATTCGGCTGTTGTTTCTCAAACAAGTACCCAAATGGACTTGTTGAATTATGCATTAGGAAGTTTCACTTTATTGGCCCCTCTGCGGGAATTTAAAGAAATACTTTGAACTTTGAGAGACAACAAGAAAAGAGCTGAAAGCTGCTGACAAGTTGAGCAACATGCAAACTTACTAGGCCTGCACCAAAAATGCAACCAAACGTTTCATGTATCAGCAGTCAAATAAGCTCTAATTTGTTCCTAATTTTATGTGGAATAAATATTTTTAAATGGCAAACAAATTTTAGAGCCTTAAAAACGTATGAATACTAAAAACATAGAACATGAATAAATCCTAATCAACCTTGCTATTGTTTTGTTGTAAAGCAGCAGATACATAAGTTAATCAGTAAAAAGTCTGGTATCCTTGTACTGTACATGGATGATGATGTATCATCTAAATCCCGAGAGTCCATTGGACTGGTATAGTTCATAGGACACAGACTGTTTACTGGATAAATATAAACCAACCTTTTTAACAGGAATTTGTAGAAGCAATGGATGGCCATCAGGTAGCAACACAGACAAAGGCACAAGGAGTTTTTTTCTTTATACAAATATCTATGCAGGCTTCATTGAGGTTCTTAAAGAGACAGAAGCCAATTTCAAGTTGTCAAATTGCAAAGCTCGACTGTGGTTTAGAAATAGCACTATGTACCTGGAAAATGCATAGTACCGCCCCTTTAAGTGACATTTTAAAGCAAAACGACATGTTGTGATTAAACTAACTCCAGATGGACTCATAGGATTTGCGATCTGTGTCAGACGATGTACCTGGAATAATGTTTTCATGACTACATTTTTGGACTGCAATTAATAAGTGCATGAATAAATGCAAATTAACTAGGTGAAGGACCTGAGAACCGCACAACTGCTGGATGGCTTGGTAACATAAAGTCACATCAGGGAACATGCAGACATGCACAATTGTCTAACAAAGCTAGTCAGGAAAGGAGAATAATTTGTGTTTATTAGGAAACTTTCTGAGTTTTGTCACAACTGGTCATTTGCCACTGCGGTAAATTTCAGCCACACGATAGTGGCAGGTTGCTTTTAAGGCCCTACAGGGCATGTTGGTTTGCTAGGTATCCCAACTGCTGCATTTGGACATCTGCTCAGAACTTGTTGAGCGTTTGTACATCCTGCTAAAGTCTAATAGAACCTTTTCAGTAAAACACCAGTGTGGTACCTGTTTGTCTGCACTTCCTCTCTTCCTTTTAGCCCTCTTCTTGTCTTCCCTGCCTTCATCCACATCAGCCTCATCCTCGTGCTCCTCCTCGTCGTCTTCATCTTCCTCCTCCTCCTCCTCGTCTTCTTCTTCGTTATCATCTTCCCCCTCTTCTTCTTTGTCCAAGTCGTCATGCTCTGATCCCATTGGCCCACTGTAGTCGGAGATGAGCAGAGCTGCGAGGCCATTGTCTAAAACGATGTACCTGAGGAGCATAAAACTGAAGGTGAAACCACACAGTCACCTTCGGCGAACTCCAATGTCGCAAGTTTCATCGACTTTCTGCTTTCTCTTGTCCGATTTTTAGCGGCCTGTTAAATCATGTATTAGTTTGAAGGCTCCATCTCGAACCCTCTGAGGCTTGTTCTGTGCTTCTTTTTCCACAGCACATTTTCTGACTCCGCACCGCGGCGGCCCGCGGCACCGATGTGTGCTTAAAGCATGAAATCAGATCATCAGAGTGCAATAATAACAATGCACTGATCCAGCTGGAGGAGAAGCTCAATATCATTTGTGGATTGGGGTTAGTAGATCTAGGTCATTTTATCTCTACTTTCACATTTATGAACCAAGGAAATAGTTCTTCTTGATAGATTTTAGTGAATATGAAATTAAATTAAACACTGTGACTGGGAACAAACTAAAACCCTAGGAGCTTTACCCAGAGGCAGTGTTTGGTTAGGGCTTTATGGCTCGCTGCCCAGGGAAGACTACTGCCATGGGGCGATAAATTCAGTCAGCTGAGCCCAAACCAAATCTTCTTTCGCTTATTTGCATGTCCTGTCAATGAGGATTTGAAGATCTTTGTGAAATGGAAGGAAAAGGTTGAATGATCACATACATTTTCAGCCCTGCTTGAAATGCAACCAAACACTTTCAGAAGTCTTGTATTCGGTAACTAAAATCCATCGGTGTGTAATTTAATCTCAGAATAACCACAGCTGCTTCGGTTTGCTGGAGAGCATTAGTGAGCACAGCAGACAGGTTGGGCAGAAAGTTGTGGGGAAGTTTAAAGCAGGGTTCGGGTTTTAAAGCAATACCCCGCAGAGCACTGTTTGGTCCGTCATTTGAAAAAGATGGATTGAACAGAAGAAGATGGCACAAGTGCAAACTTAATGAGACATGGAAGTCCTTCTGAACTGACAGGAGAGCATTACTCACAGAAGTAACCAGTTTGGATGGCAGTTTCATGCTGTGTGTTGCTTTTCTTTAAACAGGGAAGCCGGTAATTCATAGAACGATTAATGGGGCTAAACATTGATCAATGCAGGGAAAAAAATAATAATAATTTAGAGGCAGCAAAGGACTTGAGAGTTGGGTTAGACGTTTTCCTTCGATCCGTTGGAATGGAGCAGTCAAATGCCAGATCTAAATCCAATTGACTGAATTGAGTTTTTGGGTGCATTCACACTAGTCCTGCTTGGTTCGCTTTAATGGAACTAGTTCTAACTCTGATGTGGACCAAGAAGTGAACAGTCTAGGTTTGGTTGACGTGAACTCTGGCGTGTTTCGAATGAATATCTGAATCCCAAGCAGACGAGATTGTTGTGAATACCAAGCAAGCAGGAAGCGGACTATAACGCGGGGCATTCTGGTTGAATAAAACCGAAACAAACACGAGAGTTAAACGCTGGAGGGAGAAATGGCTCATGGTCCTTCGCCAAAGACAAAGAAAAAATCCTGCAAGCACTAAAATATGACACTACTTTCTTCTTGTGAAGAAGGAAGTCACGCTCTGTGTCTTCTTTGGAGGTTTTTGTGTTGTTTCCTTCAGTGGGGGGGCTGAACAGGCAGAGGAGTGAAACGGATTTTCAAAGGGTTTGCGTCAGATGACACAGTGCAGTGTGAGTGTGAACCGCTGAACTGTAAATGTAACAAATTTTGCAATTTTGATGCCCAAAAGATCCAAATCTACCAGTCAGTTAGGTGTGAAAGCACCAGTCTTTGGATTCGCAAAGCTGGAAGAAAGCTGTCTCTCAAATAAAGGTAAAACATGCTTCTGAGCGGCCTCAGAGGGGTCTGAATTTAACTGCATGCCACACTTTTCAGACCAATGTCCTTCTCACTGCTCAGCTGCATTAAGCGTTGCTCTTTCAATCAAAACAGGCAACAAAAACACGTCAGAGAACTTTGCACCTGTACTGCTTCGGGTCGCTGGGTGACTTGATGATGTCACGGTCCCCGACATTGTCTTCTCCTCCTCCTCCTCCATCATCTCCCGCAGCCCGGCTCTCCTCGCGGGAAGCCGGGGCCTCCGCCGGGACCTCCTCCTGGACCGAGCCCGGAGAGTCAGCCGCCGGGGTGTTACCGGACTTGTTTGTTTGCGTCATGCTCGGCAGAGGTGACGAGGCTTTGGCACCGCGGAGCGACAGCAGAGCGCGGCTGTGGACGACAGGACGGCGAGCCGTCACTGGGAATTGGGTCGTTAACGCGGCGACACGCCGTGTCAGCCTGAGCAGGGCAATGATGAAGACCCTTCGGGCGACAAAAACAAACAGAAATGTTGTAAACAAACGCATTTAATGGGACTTTTGTATATAAATATACGTGACATGAGGGATAACGGTGTGGACCGGGGCTGTCACACACACACACAAAGCCTAACCTAGCAGCACAATGCAGCTATTCACAACGGCTATCTGGGGCTTTCGCCCTTTTCAATTTGATGTCAGCTAAAACCCAACCGCCCTGAAAACAAACCTCACACCTCTGCGCTCCAAAAACAACACCACGCCGAGGAGGAGATGCCGCCGAGTGTGTAAAAAGCAGCGCCTCTGCTCGGGGCTGACAGCTAGGCGGGTGTAGCGACCACCTTGGAGAACTGTTGGTCAGCAGAAATAACTTTTGACGCCGGCGTGTTCATCACGTATCCATACCTTCCTCCTTTGCTGTTAGCAGAACATCCGCAATCATGTCAATTCCGCTTTCCTCAACAAGCGGCGCCGTGATTGGCCGGGAGGATTTGACGGCGCGCGCCGATTGGCTGCGCAGAGCCAACGGGGCGGGGCTCAGGTGCTCCCACGTGTGCGCCCGGCAGTCAGCGGTGGTTACATCGCAAGTGCTCGGAGATGGGACAGGCAGCGGCGACGAGGCGATACCATCTGTTACCTATTATGCGTGCCTGATTGAGAATGTCCTGCTCGCCTCTTGTCATCATAAGTTAATGTTACAATTGATCCTTTCGGGTTTTAAATCAGCTTGGGGGAGTTGAAGATGATATAAATGCTGTTCCCATGCTCGGAATGAAAGTTAAGCTCTCTTTCAGACCTTTTCCACACCACTTGTGCAGTCATTTGGGCCTGGATGCTTTTGTGTTACCGGTAGGCGGCAGGCATAAGCCACCCGGAGATGGGGAGGTTTTACTTCTGATTAGGTGTCTCCCTAGGCCTCTACAATAGGTTAGCAATGCTGTTTTCACTGAATTTCAAGATCTTCCAGAGAGCCACGCCGCATCTGCTGAAGATCTGATGTGATCATTAAATCAGCAAAACAGAAAGAGCCTTCAGCGTAGTAAACAAATTGTGTCTCAAGCCCCAAATCTGAGTCAAATGGATGGAAACACACTCTTATCGTGAATGAGCCACGTTGACATTTGTCCAGCGCTCTTCTTCAGCCTTGACTCTGCCGAGTGTTGGCATTTCACCCCTCTGCTGTGCCAATATGTCCTCGCCCTCACTCACCGTATCCTTCTCTCTCCCTCTCTCAGTCTGAAGCCAATCTGATTTGCCCCTGGGCCCGTGCTGGCAGAAGGAGGTGATAAACACCGCAACCATGACAACCGGCAAGCCAGACGAACGCCCGAGTTCTTGTATCCTAATGGCTTTCGCTTGGCATCCCCTCCTCGCTTAATTCATCACGTCCAGCCTTCACCTGAGCTGATATTAAGGCTCTCGGGACGGATGAAGGTGGCACGGCTTGGCTGCACTTTGAGCTTTTCTCATCCAGTCTTTTAAAGATAAGCCTCTGGCTCGTCTTATCAGCATGTGAGATGAAACGCTAGTGTTAACACCGAAGCCTCCACATCACTTTAAACAGAGAGCCGGCATTAGTCACTGAATAAATATTTCCTCAGTCTGATTAATATTAAGATGAGTGTTAGAGCTGCTGACATTCTGAAGGATACCGATTCTGGTACATCGATACAGTTCTTTGTGTGTACTCACACGCCTTGACGTTTTTCCTGTTTTGTCACACAATAAGCACAAACTTCAACGACTACATTTTGGATATCATCTATTAAGCTGACACTAAATTCTGCATAATTGTGGCGTGCAAAGAGAATAGCACCAGCATTTAAAACACCAAAGTTTTTTTGGAGTATGTATCACCATGTAAGAAAATGTAAAGGACTACATTTCTGGCTGTTCCCAAGCTAAGCTACGGCAAAGTTCGACTTAATATCTTCCCAAAGATTCTCGATTGGGATTAGGTCTTTACTTTGACTAGGACATTTTAACACACATCTATATTATTCCATGGTAGCTCTGTTGACATGGTTAATGAAGTTCTTCTGCTAATGAGAGCCTCTAACCCTATTTCAAGTGTTTTGTCATGTCTACCAACACGTCTCAATCTGAGATTGTTTCAAAAACAATCTCAGTTCCACACAGAACAATGTTGACCTTGTTTATCCTGAGAGTGTTTTATGTATTTGGGAGCGCTTGAACCAAAGAGGCTGAATACAAAGAGATGTCAAAGTTGAATGATTTTTAATCTGACTTTGAAATCCATTTATAATTTTCCTTCAACTTCACCACACATAGTTCAATAACACACACCAAAAAATAAAAATAAATAACATTTTGTTTGTAACATTGTAAAATGCAATAAAGTTCAAGCTGTGCGAATACTCTTGAAGTGCAGCGTGCGATGTTTCTTTTCTGAAACACGTTCTTTTGATTAGGAAGCCTTGAGCGCTTTGAAGAGTCGAGTTGTAGGGCATGCTTGCAAGCCCAAAGCTTGTCGAAAGCATGGCTTCCGTAATAGGAAGGCAAACCGACCTGTGTGAGCGGCGCAAAAGAGGCTTTTACGCGCCCTGCCATGTGAAAACTTTCCCAGTGTCACCGATTGATTGGACAGGCCTCTGCAAAAAAAAGCAAAAAACCTCCTCTTCTTAATGCCAGCGCGTGGCCTTTTCATGAGCGAGGACGTCATATCATCAGGAAGGGCAGCGTGAGCCGTCGTAATTCTGTTTCCTTTTTTTCTCTCCCGCCACCCTCATTTCCGTGCCCCTTACTGTGACTGAGCCCAAATTGAAGTTCAGATTTGGCACCTCGGGCCTCCCCAGAAAAATTGTGTCTGTGTGCAAAATGCGTTGCGGGAGCACATCGGGCTGAACCGCTGTAGGTATTATGAATTCGTCTCCCTCCTCGGACAGCTTCCCGCAGAGTCACTGGAGGCGAGGGGGTGAGGGGGGGGGAAAAAGAAGAAGAAGAAGAAAAATACAGAGCCTTACCTTTAAGACTCCAAGGGGGCAAGGTTCCCATGGCAACTGATTTGAATCCTAATTAAAACAGGAGATTTGATTAAGTGGAGCAGCGATGTGTGTGTCTGCGAGAGATCATGTGTGTGTGTGGGAGTCGACATGTTCTTGTGAGTCACGGTGTAAATGAGGAGGGGGTGTTGTGTGGCTATATGTGTGTATTTATGCGTGTATAATCATGGGCCCGTGGGTAATCTTGTGAATCACTCCAGCGTCTCCGGCCTGGACGCTCTCACATGTGTGCATGTGTTCGGTGTCTCCCGCGAGGCTCGTCCTTGCCTGCAGAACGACCGTGTGAATCAGAGGTGAGTCCTCTGGAGTTGCCCTCTGCTTTAATCTGGAGCTAACGACAGAACCACCTGCCCTCCTGGCCGTCCTCGTCCTCCTCCACATCTCACCAAACCTCCAGTGCCCACCGCTCATTGTCTTCTCCCACCCACAGCCGGTCTGTTTCTCTCCCCTCCCTCCTCCGTCTGCCCCTCTTCTCCTTCATTTCCTTTTTTCTATTCTTCTTCTTCCCACTTTTATCTCAGTTGTGTATTGCTGACATACTTAACCCTCGTTTGGCCACAATTTACAACCGGGGCGCCTGTTTGATTTATTTACTTTGACTTTATGGCTGCAAAATTCTCAAAAAATGTGCATTGAGTTTGCATTTTTGCTCTTATTTCCAGAATAATTTCAGCTTTCAGTGTCTGATAGCTATTTAACATTTCTGTTGATCAAAACTTGTGAACAAACAGTTTAAAGGAAAAAAAAAACTGAATTAAAATGATCCGGTTTAAGAACTTGAAGATGACAGGGGCAAACAATTTCTAATGAACAATTTAGACATTTAGCTGTATTTCATAAATGCAAAGAAAACTGTGAAGCCTGGCCTTAGGTTTCATGCCTGTTTTTTTTGTTTGTTTTTGTTTTTTGTTTTTTTCTTTGTGGTAGGCTTTAAAGCAGTTCCTCTCCAGCTGCATCTGTGAGAATAGTAGTAATAATAGTTGAAATTCCAGACACCTGAATATACATTTAAAAATATTCTGTGATAATTATTGTTAGTCTACATCGGGCTGTGGAAAAGTACTTGCCTCCTGACTGCTTCTTTCTGCTGTTGACATTTTTTTTGTCACACTTTATTGTTTTAGATCATTAAACACATTTAATATCAGTCAACAATCACCTGAGATAACACAAAAAGCTGTTTTCATATTTGTGACAAAGTCATTTCCACTTACACCTATTGTGGGCAAAGTGATAACAAGTGGTTGCAATAATTGACAATAAATATCACATGACTGTGGAGGAATTTTGTACCGCTCTCCTTTGCAAGAATCGACTGAAGGGTTTTTCAGCACAAACGACCTGATTTAAGACCAAAGCACAGCAAAACCTTCACTGGACTCGTCTACAGGCGTTCCGGAGTGAACTTCCTGCTGTGCTTCAGATTGTTGTTCTGGTGCTTGGGCACAAAATGACGGCCAGATTTCCTCCATCGAGAGAGCAACCTTCAATGTTCCGTCGCGTACATCAAGTTTTTCAGGGTCAGAAGCAGTGAAGCAATCCCTGATCATCAAAACACCACCTTGGTAAGACGCTCTAAAGTTCTCTAAAACGCTATGCTGGTTTTATGCCAGATGTAGCTGGACACAAATCATCCTTAATGCTGTTGACAGAATATATTATGTAAGTGTATTGCTGCAGAGTTTTGAGCCAACTGAAGCTTTTTTTTTTGTTTCTACTTGTAAAAAATAATGTGTGCTACAATAATCTAGAGAAGAGGAAAGACAAGCATTAATTGCCATTGATAGGGTTTGCTTTGGTACCCATTTTATTGCTTTTGATAGATTCCTTTGAATGGCCTTCAAGTGACATTGATCGTTCAAAAACAACTCTAACTTCCTTAAGTTTGGCTCGACGGCAGAATTTAAATGACTTATCTGCTGACAGGTCAGAGGAAGTCTCAGGAGATTCTCAGAGTGAAGTTCAAGATCACTTTTTCTTTTTAATTAGTCTCAAGGCCACACAATTAGAAGAACTCTTAATGGAGCGGGACAGTTGAATGTCATCTGCATAAAAGTGACAGGAGTCGGGTGGAGTCTGGAAAATGGAAGATGGTCTTTGAGCTCTTTTATGGCACTCGTCAAAAATATTACCGATCATCAAAACACCATAAAAATGTTTGTTATTTTTGTGGTTTTATGATGTGAAGCACTTTAAACTTCTGTATTGAGGAAATGTGCCATACAAATAAGCTCGATTGATTGATTTGTGGTCCAAATCAGAAGAGGATTTGGCCTTGGAACCGTCCAACTGATGTCATTTTGCTTCTCAAAGATGAATCATGAACTCTGACAGATGCAAATGGGGCCCGCAGTGCTCTAGATTTTGTTCTTGGTCCTTTTGAGATTTTCTAGTCTTTACGCTCTTTTAGGTATTTTGGTG